GAATAAATAAATAAATATTATGAAGCTAAAGTAAAATTAACCACAGAATACAAACTAAAAAGCCGAAAAGCAACTGGTAATAAATTTAACCTTCCGTATTCAGATTTTTCAGCTAATTGTTCGAAATCTTATAATTTTGTGATAGGAGACCACAACATTAAAAAAGATAACTAAAATTAAATTAAAAATGAGACAATACATATTTTATTTATTTTGATTAGATATTTTTATTTATTTATTGAAAAATAAATTAATCCTTCGTATTATGTTTTTTATTCGAAGGAAAAAGCAAAAACACTTAACAAAACCGAAACACAGTGGCCTAATCTTAAAATGTAAGTCGTTTTAAAAACTAAGGCTCCGGCATCATAAAAGTAGACCTTTAAATTGGATAAATTCGAAAAACTTGAATAAGCCGAAACGCAGTGGCGTAATCTTAAAATGGAGGTCATTTTCAAAATCTACGACTCCGGAAACATAAGAATACACTCTTTTATGATAAAAATTCGAAACACTTAAAGAAATCGAAATGCGGTGGCCTAATCTTAAAATGGAGGTCGTTTTCAAAATCTACGGCTCCGGAAACATAAGAATACATCCTCATATGAAAAAAATCCGAAAAACTCAAAGAAATTGAAATGCGGTGGCCTAATCTTAAAATGGAGGTCGTTTTCAAAATCTACGGCTCCGGAAACATAAGAATACATCCTCATATGAAAAAAATCCGAAAAACTCAAATAAGTCGAAACGCGGTGGCCTAATCTTAAAATGGAGGTCATTTTCAAAATCTACAGCTCCGGAAACATAAAAATACACCCTCATATGAAAAATATCCGAAAAACTCAAATAAGTCGAAACGCGGTGGCCTAATCTTAAAATGAAGGTCGTTTTCAAAATCTACGGCTCCGGAAACATAAAAGTAGACCTTTATATTGGATAAATTCTAAAAACTTAAATAAGTCAAAACACAGTGGCGTAAACATAAAATGGATGTCATTTTCAAAATTTACTGATCGGGAAACATAAAAATACACCCACATATCGAATTTGTCAAAAAAACTTAAATGATTCGAAACGCAGTCACGTAATCTTAAAATGGAGGTTATTTTCAAAACTAGGTACAGGACAGCATAATACTAGTCCCTAAGAAATCCGAATAGGTACAATAAATCGATATCCGTAAGTGAAAATTCTACTTAGGAGAGCATAATAATAGACTTTCATATTGGAGGGAGGGAGGGGATGGGCATTATTTAAAAAAAAAATATAAAATTTACAAAAACTTAAAACATTAATTTGAAATGAAAACGGTTGAATTTGAATTGGAAAAGGTTTAATTTGAAATGGAAATGGTTGAATTGACTTGGAAAAAGTTTAATTTGATTTGGAAAAGGTTGAATTTGACTTGGAAAAGGTTGAATTTGACTTGGAAATAATTGAATATCACATAGAAATATCACACTGAAAAAATCTAAAATGTTAAAATAAATGGATATGCAACTGCGTAATCAAATTTTTTTTTGTATTTTTTAAAAGCTATGCCGTCGATAATATAGTAAGTGGCCTTCATTTCGAAAAAAATCGAAAATTGACAAAAATTCTAAAGTTGAATTTGAAATGGAAAAGGTTGAATTTGACTTGGAAAAGGTTGAATTTGAAATGGAAAAGGTTTAATTTGACTTGGAAAAGGTTGAATTTGATTTGGAAAAGGTTGAAATTGACTTGGAAATGCTATATTGTATATAGTTATGATTGTGTTTAGAAGTTTTTATTTTATTTTATTTATTTTTTTTTTTTTTTTTTTTTTTTTTTATTTTATTTTTTTTTTATTTATTTACCTTCTACATCAGTATTATTTATTTACTTCTTATATTTATATTTATTTCTTTATTATTTGTATATATTGTATGAATGAGAACTTTTAGCCCTAATGCTTATAGCCCTCCAGCAGTGGCTGATTGTATTATTATTCAATAAATAGATTTCAAAAAAAAAAAAAAGTACCTGAATTGGGTTAGTAAAAAAAAAAAAAAAACTTTATTGGGTGTCTCCGTCAAGCACGTCCTGACTAGATTTACTAGTTTTTTTGGAATCCCCTGCTCGATTAGAATATTATACAGTTTCTGGCGGTCAATGGAATCGTAAGCCTTTTTAAAATCTATATACAGCTGGTGAACAATACCGTTATACTCCAATTTTTTCTCTAATATTTGCCGTAAAGAAAATATTTGATCAATAGTCGAACGATTCCGTCTAAATCCGCATTGGTAGTCTCCGATAATTTCCTCGGCGTATTCCGTGATTCGACTGGTTAAGATTAAAGTGAATATTTTATAACATACCGGAAGGAGTGAAATTCCTCGATAGTTATTACAATCCGTCCTCGGACCCTTTTTGTGAATCAGAATAAGAATAGATTCTTTCCATTCTTCAGGTAATTTCTCGTTCACGCAGATCTTTTTAACCAACCGATGTATTTTAGAAACTCCAGCTTCCCCGCATGCCTTAATTAGTTCAGTGGGAATATTGTCGGTTTCCGCTGCTTTATAAGATTTTAATTTTCCGATAGCTAATTCAACTTCCTCTTTACTTGGTCCTTCTATTAACGGTTCAGCACTCTGGTACTCAGAAGGAGGACACAGATCATAATTTCCCGTATTTAAAATATTGTCAAAGTGGTCCTTAAACTTATTCAATATGTCAACCGGATCGGTCAGAATATTGTTATTATCATCCCTAATTCCAGACATTACGGGCCTACATATTTACGTGATCTGTTTATACCTTTGTACATGTCTCTTACGTTATTTTCGATTCTATTAGTTTCTATTTCAATTATTTTATTTTTAAGATATTCCCTTTTTTTATTTTTGAGCAATTTTGTTGTTTCGTTCTTTGAGATTCGGAAGTATTCCAGATTGTCTTCGCTAGGATTATTTAGAGCTTTTAATTTAGCGGCTTTTCTTTTTTCACACATGTTTAAGCAATCTTCATCAAACCACGGTTTGTTATTCTTATTTTCCTTTTTTCCTAGACACGAGTTACCTACCGCTTTAATATTATCTCTGATCTCTATCCATAACTTGTCAATATCCTCATGCTCCTCGTCAGGAAGCTCTAAAGCTTCAAACCTATTCTTAACATCTAGCTCGAATTGGTTTCGAATTGATGGATTTTTTAATTTGTCCAAATTAAAATTCTCAAAATCAAAACGGTTTTCTTTTCTCTTTTTTATATTAAGTTTTTGTCGAAGTTTCACGATTACTAATTCATGATCCGACCCACATTCTGCTCCGCGATAAGACCGTACATTAATTATACTGCTTTGCCAGCTGTGTTGTATCAAGACATGATCGATTTGATTTCGTGTTTGTGAATCCGGTGATGTCCAAGTATATTTATGAATATCCTTATGTTTAAACGTCGTACTTTTAATTATCAGGTTTTTCGAGATGGTAAAGTTTATCAGACGGATCCCATTATCATTACTATATTCGTGCAAACTTTCTTTACCAATCGTCGGAATATAAACTTCTTCCCTTCCTACCTTTGCGTTCGCGTCACCTACAATTATTTTCATGTAGTTTCGCGGTAGTTTATCATAAACCCATTCGAATTTATCGTAAAATTCACTTTTGACTTCATCATCACTGTCTTCGGTCGGACAATGTATGTTTATTAATACGATTTTAAACCAACCTCCCTGAAATGTAGCTACCGAAATTCTATCACTAAAGAATTGTACGTCCCTCAAAGCGGATAGTAATCTACTCCTAATTAGAAACCCGGTACCTAGACAATGATTCCCGCTTCCTCCGTACCAAATAGTGTACTTCCCTTCCCTCATCGAGCCCTCCCCTGGCCAGCGAACCTCTTGCAGAGCCACGACATCCAAATTGTACCCATTAACCTCATTCGCGACCGATTTTAGCCCCCTGCTAAAAGTTTGCTGTGTTTAAACTCCTTACATTCCACGTACCAATATTTAAATCCCTATATTTCAACTTGCGCCATGAATCCCCTAAAGCAGTCCCCACCCGGAGACCCGAACGGGGGACTAGTTTACCTCCGGATAATGAGCGTTTTACCTTAGGGAGATCCATGACTTTTTGTGGTGTTTGGTGAACTAAAGATATGTGAGTAGGGCGTTCAATCCTACGTCACACCCTCCAGCAAGTCTGGAGGTCCCCTCCCTCCAGCAAGTCTGGAGGGCCCCTCTCATTGTTGGTCAGCGAGTCCATCGGACTTAGCCGGGAGGAACTTCCAAGGAATTTCCACCGACCATCCCCACATCCGCCACCCGTGGGACGCTCCCCATACACGGTAATGAGCCCGCGCGAGGGCCTCTTATGATACTTTCATAAAAACTACTGAAGTCTACTAAAAGGTCATGAGTCACAATATTGTACTCTCTAGTTCTTTCCATAAGAGTTCTCAGGATAAATATTGGGACAACACATGATCTACCCAATGCCTATTTCTCTCTGGGTTTGGGGTGTGTCATTCATAGATTATGTAAAAACTTTGTGAGCATAGCTTAAGAGTATTATGCCATGATAGTTGTCACAGTTCATTTGGTTTCCCTTCTTATGATAAAGCTAATACACCAATCGAGAGGAAGTATGTGCTTCATAAAATTAGAGTTCAATGGTTTGATCTCTTTCAAGTTGTTAAATCCTGGAGAAGAAATTATTGTAAACACTTGTGGGATTTCTTGATGGATTTTATTAATAAGTTTTAAACATAACTTCAATTTTTTGCTTATTTTCAAGTTTTTTTTTTTTTGTTTATTTATTCAACTCGGTTATAGCAGTTCTATCAAAAATCTCATCTCAAATTATAAGATTTTAAGCTTTTTTTAAATTAGTGAAGTATATTTCAATTAATTAATGTTGTGTTACTTAAGCTTATGATTGGTTTTATAATGTTATGTTACTCACAACATTGACTTCTTGTATTATATAAATATGTAGCTAATATTATTGTTTTATTATTTTTAGAAATGGATAAAAGAAAATGGTGTCCTACAAATTGTATTAAGGGATTCCCTCCATCAACCACAGTATGTGGAAAAGCTGGAAAAAATATTACGATTTGTAATTAAAGAACGGTGTCTTTCATTGGAGGATTTGGATAGTCTGTGGGCTGCACAACATGGAAAGCATGAAGCTATTGTAAAAAATGTGCATGACCTCCTCGCCAAACTAGCATGGGATTTTTCACCCGAACAACTTGATCACCTTTTTGAATGTTTTCAAGTGAGTGATAGACTTAATTATTTCCTACTCATTTTTATCTTACTAAAAGGAAATACAAATTTGGCTCAATTCCTGCATTTCAATTGGTATTCATTGATATTATTGAATTAATATGGATGTAGATAGTGATTAATAGATTATATCTAACTAACTAAATATTTGTTTTTGTTTTGTTTTTTTAGTCTAGCTGGACAAGTGCTAATAAGAAGCAACGGGAAAAGCTCCTTGAATTGATACGAAGGTTAGCAGAAGATGATAAAGATGGAGTTATGGCTCATAAGGTACTTAAAATGTTACTTTTACTAGCTTCTCCTTCTCATCATAAATGCAATTGCTTAAATAATTCTATAGAAAGTATAGTGAGGTTGGTTATCCTTATTCCATGTAAACAGAGCTTGGCAATTGAGAATATATACAAATCAAAAGATTATATTAATATTCTATAAAAAACAAAAATGCTAACACTAGCCACTTCAGGAGAACTTCTGACAAAAAAGAATGTTTTTTTAAAACATACTCGTTAAGAAATTAAAGCATGTTTAATTCTTCATTGAATAAGTACCAAAACTTAATCATTTGGTTAAATAGCATTGTAGAAACGACGATTAACAATTGACGATTTTTACCAACTTTGTCAAGAAGTTAGATATTGTAGTGATAATGCAAGTGTGAAACTTACTTTTAAGGAATAATCTTGTAATAATTTGTTAGATTTAATTTTGTATATACATATGTATATAGGAGACCGGGATTGATGCTTGCAATAGCTATAGTAATGGTCAAAGTTAAGCAACAACGAGCGTGGTTAATACTTGGTTGGGGACCACCCGATTTGTGGGAATTACCACCAGGGAAAGCCGTATTGTCCAAGATTCTTTCCCTCTCCTCGGTTTGTGAGGTGCATTAGCTGACTAGAGGCAACTCACACCAACCAGGCATAAAACTGATGACCTTACCCTGTGTACTTATATCGGGAATCAGGATGTCAGTAGCTCTTCTGAGGTTTGGTCCATGGACGGTCTGTTTTAGGGAAAGAAGTATAGGTTCTAGTACGCCTACTGACTCAGAGCAGCCATAATCCATGGACCTAGACCGATTTGCTACTGTCCTTGCCAGTGAGTCGGTGGGAAGGACACTGCCAGATTGTTTCCAAACGGATTGACTACGGATGACCTGCTGCTGCATCATGGAGACCATAGTTAGTAGCAATGTGAGGTTTGATGATTCTCTCACAGCTATCTGTGCTCCTGTAAGCAATATACTTTTGTAACAAGACCACATCTCGTGGCCAAAGATCTTCATGGTCTGTAGTGCCAAAAAAAAAAAACATATAAATACGTTAGTATTTTATGAATGGTGCAACTTAATTACTATTTTAAAGGTGGTGTGTCTTCATTGCCAGTATTTTAAAATTATACTATTTTACTGTTTGTATTGTTGTTCAAAAGCTAAATGTTTGTTTTAGGTGCTTACCTTGTTTTGGAATTTGGCTCATTCTGATGATGTTGTCACTGAAATAATGGATCAAGCATTGAATGCTCACGTTAAGATTCTGGATTATAGTTGTTCACAGGTAATAATTTTGTTTGTTTCATGTTCTAAAAATATCATGAAACATGACTTCAGTTTTTATAAAAATTCTTTTTAGATTTACTCCATATTTTAATTAAAAATTAGTTATATGACTGATTATTATTGCAATTAGCTTTTGCAGATGGATGATACAAATTTCTTCTGGAAGAATTAAAATTAATCTTAAAATGCCATATTATTATAAATAGTCAGAAAACCATTTTATTTAAAAAAAAAAAATTAACCCTTGTATGCCAACACCTTGTACCCATAAACAGTTATGGTTACATTATCGCTAGATGTGTATGAGGCTTTATCGTACTTAATTTTATTTAAACACTCCTTGGAACTGAAGAACTATTTTGATTTTGTTCAGGTTATTACTTCTGCATACAAGGATGTTGACTATTCATGTCACATTTTCATTTAATGAGTTAATCTAATGTTAATTTTACCTTTATAAATTAGGCATTTTAAAAATGTTTTGTTGTGTTGCTTTTCACCTCATTTCAGTCAGAAAAAATAAGCCTATTTTAAAGCACAGTTAATTAATATTTCTTTTCATAATCATCTTCAACTTGTCCTATTTCCTATTTTTTTATCCTCAATTTTATGGAATTCTACAAACATTTATAATAATCTTTTTAATGATAGTTGATTTGTCTAGCCAGATAGTGGGCTTTATGTATTAATTAACTTTATTCAATCACTTTTAATAGTGTGTCAAATGCATTAACTGAATTCTTTTTTTTTTTTACAAAACAAATCAAGTGTATTACAATTTTATTAACATTAATAAAACGTTTTTTAGTTAAATTGTGGTGAATTTTTTATATAATCAAGATAATGTTTTTTTTTTTTAAAGGAGTCTGCTCTATAGATTGTATTTTAAAAATTTATTTTCTCTGTAATTTTTAAAAAACTATATTCCAAAATCAAAATATTTCTTGCCTTTTTACTGAATCGAAGATTTCTTTCAGGAACGAGATGCTCAGAAAACTGAATGGTTAAACAAGTGTGTAGAAGAACTTAAAAATAGTGAAAACTGGGTTTTACCAGCTTTAAAACAAATTAGAGAAATAGCTTGTTTGTATGAACAACCACCTAATGCAAATCAACGGAGCCATCATGTCTGCTATAGGTAAGAATTTGTATTATCACTTTTATTTTTTAAAATGAATATTTTATGGATGTTTGATGTTAATTAATATTGTTCCTTTCTCTTTTATTATAGGCAAGAAGTTATTAACAGGCTCCAAAATGAACATCAGCTTGTTATATTAGTTACTAATAATTTAACAAACTATATGGAGAAAGTAAGACAACTTGTTAAAGGTAATTAAAGTACAATATAATGCATTCACTTCATTTTTAGTTATGGATAAACACGTTTCTACCTTAGTTTGATTTGGTATTAATATAGTATAATTTGTATTCATGCCCCATTCCATGATAATACAGAGTATGAAAATCCAATATATTGTAGATTTGCCTCATTAAAAGTCTGCCTGCTATCCATACCACAGTGAGGGTATGCTGATGAGGATATTAGATAATATTTTATTAGTACATTAAAGCAATGATGTGGCACTCCTTTATACATTCTAGCTGTTCAAATTCTTCATGCCCTGAAAAAATTGCTCCGCTGCTGAAGCATCCTCTCCTCCTGCCCAAATTGTTAGAACCAGAACGTATACATGACTTAATGAAGGTCTTCACCATCATATTTGAAGAATAGAGCCTGCAATCATCTTGTCCAGGAAGTATATTGTCCTTCATTCATCTGAGGGCATCTTCAAACTCCTCAGTAGATGACAGTTCTACCTCCTCATCCTCAATTCTTGATCCTTGGACGTTTTTTACCTTATTTTCTTCTGTACTGGGTACTCTTTATTTATAAGTATCTTTAAGTATCGAACTCATCAGTCTTGCATATCAAGAAGACTTGTCAAGAGAGTCATCTTTCTTCTTGCAAGATTGAAACTTAGGCTTGAAGAATATCCTCCCTATATTTACTTTCTAGAAAAATGTCTGGCTTTCATTGAGTCTCTTGTGTGTTTCAATTTCTGCCAACTCGTTCTAAATTTCCTCTTCTACCATTTGTAAAGCCTCTTCTCTTCTTGCTGAATTTTTCCTTTAGTTTTAGGTTGGCCCTTTTGTCCTTCACCTCTTCAATTTTAAGTATATATATGATAACATCTGGCAATGCAAACTGTATGAAGTGGTGGATAACGTTAGGATTTCTTGTTGGAGCCAACTTGACTCATTAAAATAACAATGCAAGATGTGTAATGCTTACTTTGTGTTCAGTCAGATTGCTCATCTAAATCTCCTTTTCCATTGTCATTTTAATAAATTGAATTTGGAAACAAACTATGAAATATTCAAAAACAAAACATAAGGAAGAAATTCAGCAATTCAGTTAATTTTAATTTAAGTTCTATTTCCACAGGTAAGCATTAATGAAACAATTAAATGACTTTTCATCTGTTTCTAGACCTCAGCTTCTCACAATTTTTTTCCTTCACTCGTTGCAATTTAGTCCCAATGAGCCATTGTTATATTATTTTTTATTTCATTTCAACTATGATTTTACTAATTAATAGTTTGTATCTTCCCATCTTTTAGTTAATGATGAAACATTTCATTCATTATTATTTTTTGTTTTTATTGAATTATTTATCTAAAAATTGTTTCTAGGTTTCAGTGTATAAGATAATAGCATTTTTTCTATAGTGCTTTACTTTAGAATATTGATTATTTTTCTTTATTTCAGAGAGACCAGACCTTGATCCAAATGAATACTATCCAGACAAGAGATATAGTCATATAGCCCAAGTTCATGAAAGACTGAATTTTTTGCGATTCCTCTTAAAGGTACTGAATTAGTTTAAAATTTTACAAAATGAATTATTTAGTTATTCTAAAGGTGCCTGAATAGCTAATTAGATAAAAAAAATCAGTAGCATAATTTAAAATAACAAAATTGAAGTTTTGAATGACTAAATGTTGTCTACAATATGCTTACTAGATTTTATGTCAGCTGATTGTACAAGTCTTTTTTCTTTCAAGAGATTTTGATTCATGGGGCCTGCTAAGAGCTAATACATTAGCTAAGTTTTAAATAGATAAAAAATCAACTGTATTCTAGGACAAAAGGTCTCCTAAGAATAACAACAATTTACAAATAAAAATCTGGTGTCCACTATACAGAATTTTCAGTTACCGCTCTACTTTGAATAGAAATTATTTTGGGCTATTATAAAAGTTTTGAAGTGCATTTTAAACTGAGCTAAAGCTTAAAGCTTACAGATAACAAATCATTAAGACCATTAAAATTACTATGCGTCTATTTATTATATTGACGGTAGGCATTAAAATTCGAACTACTATATCTACTTTTATAAACCACACAACTTCAGTCTCTGAGCCTTTCAGTTGACAGAATGACTAACTCCAATTTCAACATTTTTGAATTATACCATTTTAGTGATATTTCTAGTTGGAAAAATTATATCTTCACAGACAGTGAGTAAGTTGATTCCAGAGTAGGTGATTGCAGTGCTAAAGTATAGAACTGTGAATAAAGGTATAAATTTAGCAAATAGAAACATTACTAAAATTAATAATAAACAATGTTGAAATTGGAGTTAGTCATTCTGTCAACTGAAAGGCTCATATAAGTCTAGAGAGATTTGAAAGTATTGTATATCTAAATATTTAACCTATAAATGATTACGGATTGTAGGACTATCAGATATTAATCTGTCATTTTCCATTGTAAAGTTTACTAAAATGAATTTATAAGATTTTCAATGCCTGCCATAGATAGGTCAAAATACTTTCCAAGATAAGCCAAAATACTGTAATACTTTCCCTTCTTTATATATTCCATATATAGGTAAGTAAAAGTAAAAAAACATAACATATATCTGATCAAAAACTACATAATCAAAAATTCTAATGATTTATACAGCAACTTCAATAACAATATGTAAACTAAAAATAAAATCTTCTCAAGAATAAAGACAATTGTAGTAATGGATAGAAAAAAAAGAAAAAGTAAAACCTGAAGAAAAGAAAATACAAACAATTTTAATATCAAAACTTAAACTGTACAAACGTCTATGTACTTCTAACATAATTCCATTCATAAAATGTAATTTCATGACTGCAGAGCATCTGTTTGCGATGTAAGAAGGTATTGGAAAAGGAAGTATTTGAATGATGATGAGGAAGAGGAAGAGATGGTAGATGTTAAATGGCATGGAATTTCAGAGAATGTTCAAAGGTTATAATTCTATATGAGGGATAGATAAAGAGGTCAAAAACTCGGGATCTTGTTTTATTTGAGTGGACTGATGGTTAGAGCTTTAGGAGACTGTAGATATAGGGAGGTTGCCAAGAGTTGATCTTTTGGGATAAATAAGATCCGAGGAAGTTTGACGACGGAAGGAGGGGAAAATCCACTTTACAGACAAATCTTAATAAGCAGTTCAAGATTCCTTTCAGTCTGTCCTCGAGTACAATCGAGATGCCGCTATTTACCTCACAGCCGTAGTTAAAGTTAGGAAAATCAATGAGGAAATGAGGAGCTTGCAGATAGGTTATAGAAGCTGATGCCAGTAACGATGGAATAATACTTTCGTGTCTGTTTGAATGAATGGAACCACGTGTTTCAAAATGAATGAGTGAATGAATGATGTCTTTGAAGGATACATTTCTTGTATTAATAAAATATTCTAATTAGTATACGAGTAGCTTGACATGTATCATTATTTAATTTATGTAAATAAAATGTCATTTTTTTAATTATTATATTATTTTAACAGGATGGTCAGCTTTGGCTTTGTGCAGAACAAGCAAAGCAAATTTGGCAGTGCCTTGGTGAAGGTGCTGTTTTCCCTTCAGACAGGGAGGCTTGTTTTAAATGGTTTTCAAAATTAATGGGTGATGAGCCTGATCTTGACCCTGCTGTAAACAGAGATTTTTTCGAAAATAATGTTCTGCAATTAGATCCCTCTCTCCTGACTGAAAGTGGCATGAAGTAGGTGTTTTTATTAATGTTTTATTAAATAGTTTTGGTTGTCAATTTATTACTGTTTAAAAATTCTTGTTGCGATTTTCCCTAATCAATTTTCTTTTGTAAGGTGTTTTGAAAGGTTTTTCAAAGCTGTCAATTCCAAAGAAGGTAAGCTGAAAATGAAGAAAAGAACATTTTTAATGGATGATGTCGATTTAATTGGAAATGAATATATTTGGAGGGTATGAATAAATGTTTTTATGTTTTTTATTTTTCTTCAAAAATTGATACCAAATTTTATTCAATATCGCCATGAATTTGTACATCTACAGGTTGTAACATCTAGTGGGGATGATATGGCTGCACGTGCTATTCAGCTGCTCAAGGAAGTTACTACTAATCTCGGCCCTCGCCTCCAGTCATCCTGTGTTCAGTTTCATCAGTCATACATCAGTGAATGTCTTGACAGGCTGAGAGCTCACTATGATACTGTTGTAATTTTAAAAGGAGGGACCCCAAATCCCCCGAGGTAAGTGATGAATAATTTGACAACTTCAATTACTTTACACAGTTTAAAAAATGTTTTCATTAAGTCCATAAACAGTTGAAATAAATTTATTTATTTTTTTGAACTGTAATGTAATGTAAAACTAATGGTGATAAGGCCATGAAACATTTATTTAGATACGGGCGAATTTCATAAAATTAAATAATGATAGATTACTTCAAAGTAATTATTGATTAATAATTAGTGTGAAATAAAAGATTGGTGATTAGTCAAACATATACCTCTTGCTAATCTCTTTATTTAACTGACTAATACTGAAAATAGCCTTTCTACATTTTAACTATGAACAGTCATGTATTGTTACAACCTTGACTTTGACTACGAATTTTGAATGTTAAGTTAAACTGTAAAAAACAGTAAATTGTTCTGAAATAATGGGGTCAGAGCTTTCCTGGATAATACTAAATACAGAATAAGATGTGGTAATAATAATAATAAATATATAATTTATTTCTAGATCAATCCTTTAAGAATATTGTAACAGGAAATTAAAGGCTTTAAAGATTTGATGTCCCTCACATAGAAGGGATTACTACTAGCAAAATCAAATTCTTAAAATATAACTAAATTAATATTCAAAGAAAACCAAAGCTGAGAAAACTTATTGTAAAGCTATTAACTATTAAATTATATTCAGTAGTAGATAAATATTTTAAAGAAAATATTATATAAAAAACTCTTAATATCAGGTGGCTGCAAACTGGTGTCAAAACTTAATATATTCTGGCCAGATGTGTGTAAGAAGAGTCATATTCACCGGCATCTATTCAGCAAGTGAAGATTATCAGTAATTCTGCAGTCTCTTGTGAATTTGAGAGTTACTTCCTAGAGGTAGATGTGCCCTTGCGGCTACAAGATGGCAGCTCTTGAGGAGCTTGTAGCAAGCGTTCCTAGTAATATTGACGTTTTGTTATCTTGTGAAGTTTCATCTTTCTGTCTCTTGAATGCTGTTCACTCAACTGAACCAACTTTTAATAAAACATGCATTTTTTTGCTTACACCATGTTCTTCGTCTTGAAATATTGTTTAATTGTAAATTAATAGAAAAATAATTATACTCATTAACAAAAAAAGTACTTTAAAAAACAAACTTATAATTGCAGAAAATGCATGAGAGAGAAAAAATGCAATATACAACAAAAACCACCTACTTCCAATATTTTTAAAAATATCTTAGGAAGTCAATGTTGTTAATAAATAATTCAGAATTCTAAATGCTTTTCCAAAACATTTATTTAAAACGGTTAAATTATGAAATTGGAAGTTTTTTTTTCTTTCTATTTCTTAACAATCTAGACATTGGAATAATTTAATTAATCAGTATTAATTAATTTAATAAAACAATAATTTATCATATCAATATATAAATAAGCACTAATCGCATTATTATGTGTTTTTAAGACTTCAAGGAATAAATGGACAAAGTGATCTGATCTACATTAGTTAAAAAATAATTCTGTAGATAGAGAAAGCTGAAGTGCAAACTAGTGATATGTGAAGTGAATACAAGCATGAAATTGGAAGTTATGTTTTGTTTAATATTTTTTAAGAATTATCATATACTATAAATAAATTAATACAAAAGTACTAATAAAGTTTATAGATCTTAATCAGTGACTAATTAAAGATAAAAAGAAATCCATGGGGGATGGAACGGGTTGTAAATAGATGGAATTTGAAAATTGGAATTTAATTCCATAAGGATTAGGTTTATAAGGAAAATCTGTTGAAAACTATAGCTTAGTGGACCATGGAGGCTATGATGACTGAGAATGTTTAGATATCTCCATAGCAACCTCGAGTCTAGTGCCACTGACTGAATCCAGCCTCAGCTCATTTAAATTTATTTTGTGATGAACCCATAGAATAAATCTCGACGATGATTACTTGTGGGATAAACTCTGTCCCCCTGATAGCTTGAAATGGCCAGGTATGAGAGAAGGAAAAAAAAGAATTCAGTGGGCCATGGTATATAAAGCTGAAGACCAATAGCTAGTTTTGATGAATGGACAGAGGATTCGAATGGAAGATCAGAGATGTATGATAGATAACTTCGTAGAGGATGGATGCCAGAAAATACTTATGACTGTTGGAAATATAAAGCCATTTCAATTCTTCAGGAACCCAAAGTGAATCGTGCAAAGCAGTTTATTTTAGTTTTACTGTGAAATTGTGCTGACAGATTCATATGGCTTAAAACAGTAGTCTAAGTGGTGGATTATTAAGGAAATAACTAGAAAGTATTCTAGCTTCAATATCATTCTTTATTTTCTACGTTATCTGTATTAGCCTTCAATATCATGTTTATTGATTTATTTTATTATGACTTTAACATTTAATTTTATTTTCCTTTAGGATAAACTTGGAGTGTGTGAAGATGTGTAGAGTTCTAAAAGTTCTCAAAGAATACATTAGTGAATATGATGGCGAATTTACTGGTGAACGAAAATATCTTCCACTTTACAGGTACCATACAATATTTAAATAGATTATAAATTTCTAAAAGTTGTTAAATGTTTATAAATGAATTCTTATAAATTTAAGCAATCACATAATATACTTGAATTATATCTCTTCAGAAAATTAATACTGCTATATTTTTAGAAAAATATTAACATAGGAGTAAAAGCAATCAAAACACATTTTTTCTTTTCAAAGAAATACTCAAGTTTCATTCTATCAACTTGCAAAAATATTGTATCATATGAGTCAAAATCAATATTTATTTGATGCATTTATTATCTTTCTCAAACTTTCTAATGGGTGATAAATAGTCAGGATGCAGTCATTTTAAAGGTTTTTATTGGTGCCGACGTTCCAACCCAAACATGTGGGTCAACATCAGGGCTAAAACATTGTTTAGTACAATCAGAGATATAACATTATAAGACAGGTAATGGTTAAAAATGAAAAAATAGTGATTGATGATACATGAAATGGACAAATGAAATAGTTATACAAATTAAAAAATAATGTATATAATCAATTTATAAGAATTATAAATTATTTACTCTTACTGACTGTTTCGAGCACTGAAGGCTGAAGACCCACATGTTTGGATTGAAATGTCGGCACCAATAAAAACCTTTAAAATGACTGTGCCCTGATTATTTATTACCCATGATATGTAGAAGAGTTGACTAACTTCCTTCAATGATTAAATTAAAATTTCATAATAATTGAAAATATGTAATAATTTTAAAATATTTATGTTGTGAGTTATGCTGAAGATTTCCACAATTTGCTAATAAGTTTTACGAACATAAATGTTTTAATAATATATTAACAGGAGTTTACAACATTTATATCTTTCCTTTGTATATCAGCATATTAATCTTTTTTTTTTAAATGGTTTATCATACCATATACTTAATTTTCCATTAATTTTAATTCATTGATTTTTTCACATTAGTATTTATGTTAATGTTTTTATTTTGCTTTATTTTACGTTATATGGTATTATGTATTTTATATTTCAAAAATTAATTATTTAATTCTCACTGTATACTAAGATGTATGTAATTATGTTTAGGGCATACAGAGGAAAACAAGTTACACTATTAGTGAGATTTTCTCAACCTGGTAGAATTCTGGATGACATAGAAATTCCAACTCATGGTAATGAAACCATAGGCCTTGCTAGGAGATTTATATTAAGGCGAATCAAAGCAGGTTCTGCTCAACATGTGAAACTTGACTTATATTTCAACGGAGATCTTTTGGATCCATCAGATGACAGGAAGCTTTTGGCCGATCTTCACTTTGCTGATAAAATTGTAAGTAATTCTATTATAATTATATATAAACAGTCTTGTAGAATAGCACATGTTGATTAAATATTTTTAAGTTAATCATTTATTCAGATTCAACAAAACTTGATGCCATAAATTAAAACAAATTTTGAATATCAATATATTGATATACGTGTTATATTGGTTCATTTAACTTTCTTTAGTTTTGAAACAATAGAAGAGCTAAAAAAAAAATTAAATGTTTAGCTATTTATCCAGATTTGAACTAGATTTGCAATAATATAATATTATAGGATGCTTAATAGTTTAGAAAATACAACTAATTTATTGTAAAGTAGGTACTAATATCTTTTGTCAAGAGATTTCAGTAACAATTTATATCTTTTTAAACTGTCATAATTTTTATAGTCCTGAATTTTCATTATTGGGATGGATTGGTGTTATTTCTATTTATTTAAAGTTCAATATATTATTTAATTAATTTATGAATTAAAGTTGAAACTAATAAATCACTTGAGATTTTAATAATAATAATAGTTTCAATTAATTAATTGATGCATTTGCTTTCGAAACATTTAATAGACATTATTAATAATTATAGCTCTACCCTTTTATCCATTACCCATCTAGTAATTATGTATTATCTACCCATCCATTTTATAAATATACTAACATAAAATTTGTCAATTTTTCTAAGGTATAATACCTTAGTAATTAAGTACTATTATTTAATGAATGGAAGTGCTCTTACAAGGAGAGGATAGTATGTGGGTCACCGATTTCAACCAAATTTTGTACTTTCACTTACCTATATATGTAATATATAGTAAGGATAAGTATTGTGATCGTGAAAATTTTTGAATCTGAGTTTTCTACAGAAATATACATTTTGAGGTCCCCTGAATCCAAATCCAAGTCCCACAAAATGGTCTATGTGTGTATGTGTGTGAACAGCCGAGCTCAAAAACGAATAGTCGTACAAAACTGAAATTGTGTATTTGAGGTTTTTATAAACCTGGGATGTTATAGCCATATTTTCGTCAAAATCGGTGAAGCGGAGGTGGTACTTTATGTCATCGATTTAACGCATTTTTATGGTTTTCTTTAACGGCTCTAACAATTTTGATTTAAACTCAGTACATCAGTTTTTTTACTGTTTCATTGTTTTTACTTTCACTTACCTATATATGAAATATATAGTAAAGTATTGCGATCATGAAAATTTTCTAATCTTAAGTTTTCAACGGGAATATACGTTTTGAGGTCCCCTGAGTCCAAATGACCAAGTCCTGCAAAATGGTCTATGTGTATGTGTTAACAGTCTAGCTCAAAAACGAAAAGTCGTACGAAAGTGAAATTGCATATTTAACGTTTTTATATGCTAGGGATGATACAGCAACTTTTTTGTCAAAATTGGCTAACCTGAAGTTGCACTTTATATCATGGTCTAAACACATTTTTACAATTTTCTCGAAAACGGCTCTAACCATTTTGATTAAATTCATTATATCAGAATAAAATTAAGCAGTTTTAAATAAAATGTAGTTTTTATTCTGATTGATGTTCTCCAACAGGGCTTAAATGGCTAATTTTCAATATCAGCTTCCTCTAAAATACCTTTAATTTTTTTTATTTGAGACAATTGATCATTTCACATAAATTTCTAATATAAAAGATAGTTAAATATAAAATATTAAAGAATTTGATAACTAACTAAATGAGAAATAATAAATCGTAACTGAGAATAGTTGTAATTGGAGAACCAAAGGAATACGAAAAATGTGTTCAAATGAACATTTCCAACGCTCTGTCAATAAAACCGAGTTTTGGCGCCGAATAAATACTGTAGATGAAACTTGGATACACCATTACAAGCCTGAAACAAAAATACAGTGGAGTGCAAAGGGGGAACCGGCTACAGAAAAAGCAAAAACTGTTTTCTCGGCTGGGAATTATTTTGATAGTCAAGGAGTTATTTTAATCGAATATCTTCAAAAAGCAAAAACCATCACAGAAGTATACTAAACATCATTACTTGACAAGCTGAAGGCAGAGCTTGTGGAAAAACGGCCACATTTGCAGAAAAAGAAAATCCTGTTTCATCAAGACACCACATAGTCTCACACTCAGCGGTTGCCATGGCGAAAATCCACCAATTATAGTTTGAACTACTTGACTATCCACCTTACTCACCAGATCTAGCCCCAACCGACTTGATTTAAACTCAGTACATCAGTTTTTTTACTGTTTCATTGTTTTTACTTTCACTTACCTATATATGAAATATATAGTAAAGTATTGCGATCGTGAAAATTTTTGAATCTGAGTTTTCAACGGAAATACACGTTTTGAGGTCCCCTGAGTCCAAATGACCAAGTCCGCAAAATGGTCTATGTGTGTGTTAACAGTCTAGCTCAAAAACGAAAAGTCGTACGAAAGTGAAATTGCATATTTAAGGTTTTTATAAAGCTAGGGATGTTACAGCCAACTTTTCGTCAAAATCGGCGAAGCAGAAGTGGCACTTTATGACATCGATCTAAACACATTTTTACGATTTTCTCGAAAACGGCTCTAACAATTTTGATTAAACTCAGTATATCAGTGTAAAATTAAGCAGTTTTAAATATAATGTAGGTTTTATTCTCATTGATGTTCTCTAACAGGGCTTAAATGGCTAATTTTCAATATTAGCTTCCTCTAAAGTACCGTTAAGTTTTTTTTATTTGAAATAATTAACCATTTCACATTCATCCTTCATATATAAAAAATAGTTAAATATAAAATATGAAAGAATTTGATAATTAACTAAAGGAAAAATAAGAGATCATAACGGATAGTAGAAACCAAAGGACTATGAGCTCGCCCAAAAGATTATTACAGGCTTCCATACGTAACATGAGCTTAATTTAATACAGACTCCGACAATATTATGTACATATGTCTATGCGGTTTTCATAAATGTTAGTTTTAGTCATATTTAATTGTATAGATTACAGCAATATAAAAATTAAAATGTGTATATATAATGATAATTAAACAATTGAAAATACCCACAATGAAATATTAAAAAAAAAAAAAATAGCGTCTATAATTTTTACTTTAAATTCCCCTTTAACTGAAAATAGTTATTTCTGCTAAGAAGAGGGTGGGTAAGTGAAAGTCGGGTGATGCACGCACCAGATTTTTTGGATGATACTACATCGGAAAATATAAACGTGTCCCGTTGTTCTTTTCAATGGGACTTAGGAGCCGTGGAAAAAAAAGTTTATATAATTTCAAACAAAATTTATGTTATTTGTTTTTGCCTTAGCTTTGTTCTGATTTTCAGGTTATTATCTATCAATCATTTTTTGTTTTGTCCAGAATAAGATAAAACTATTAACTATTGAATTAAAGGAGTTATAATATATCATAAATTATAAAAACCAAAAGATGCTTCTAGTTAAGTCAGCCAAGTAAGTTTTTGTTATGAAAAAGCGAATTAGATTCCTTTTTAGGGCTTCTTAAAACACTTAAATACGAATTGTTATATAAATAAAAAAATATAACCTTTAGTGCTTGATTTTCTTGGATGAAGTTCTTTCTGGCCATCAACTAAAGCATTCAAAACTCCTCAGGATTTTCTTCAAATTCAGCTTTAATATAACCGTTGAAAAGCTGAATTACTGCTCTTTCAACTGATACCAATAACTTCTTGATTTTTTTTTTTTTTTTCAAGCTTGAAATTAAGAAAAACTTCTAATCCATTTTAATTTTATATCTTTAGTTTTAATTTGTTGCACCCACAAAGATACATATTTTAAATATTTTTTGTTTATATTTTGGATTTGTATAAATGAAGTATTATTAAACTGTGTTATAATGTATAATTGAAAAAGAAGTAAAATATTCCCACATTTTGAAAATTTCCTTAAAAGTTTCTCTCTCTTTATGATGGTCTAGGAAAAAAATCCAATGATTATCATACATTATAGAAAAGTTTGCCACTTCGTCTGAGAAAATGTATCATAAGTGTAATCTGTTTAATTTTTTTTTCAATTTATTTCTTTAGTATGACATTTTACTTTTCAATGCATCTCAAAGTTAAATAATTTCTAAACTTTTTTCTTTCTTTTTTTTTTCAGCTTTTGACTGGAAAGCTAAGTCAAGCTAATGCTAATATGGGAAGCTCACCAGATAGTTCATCAGATAGTAGTACTGGATCTCCTCAGCATCCTTATGATAACCCTAATTTAGAAGCTGAAAATTGTCTACCTGGTGTTGTAAGTTTATTATATTACTATTATTTTCATTAAAAGAAAAAAAAATGTATCTAAATAAATCAATTCTTCTTCAACCCATGAGTGAAGGATCTATGGTTTATAAATTAGCAGAGATTTCTATTTCTTAATCTTTTTTTTCTTTTGTGGGGATTCCAAAAAAACTAGTAAATCTAGTCAGGATGTGCTTGACGGAGACACTCAATAAAGTTAGAATCGGTAATAATAATGTACAATATTGTTATTCTCAAGGGACGTAGTCCCAGAATAAAGTTGATTCTTCTATCTATCTATCTATCTAATCTGTCGGAAAAATTTTGGGGTTCGCTCGGGTTTAAAACAGGGGGATTCCCTTTCGCCTGTACTGTTCAATTTGGCATTAGAACATGCCATTAGGGAGGTGATGCGTACCAAAAAAGGGTTGGATCTGGGTGGGACAACATCCGTGCTGGGCTATGCCGATGATCTGGTACTGTTAAGCGAAGACGTTGAAACTATAAAACTAAATACGACAACGTTAATGAAAGCCGGTAAAAAACTAGGACTCGAAATAAACACGGATAAAACAAAATATATGGTTAGCTGCAAAAATGGCGATACTACTGGTTACATAGATGGTAATATGTTTGAACAGGTAGATAAATTTAGGTATCTAGGTTCTACGATAACTAGAAAAAACGAAATTGAAGAAGAGATTAAGGTTAGACTGAAGGCGGGAAATGCTTGTTATTTTTCTGTGACAAAACTACTCAGTTCGCGCCTCTTGTCCCGGAACTTAAAAATTAGAATCTATAAAACAATTATCTTGCCTACAGTTCTTTATGGATGCGAAACTTGGCCGCTTATATTAAGGGATGAGCAGCGTCTTAAGGTCTTTGAAAATGAAGTATTGCGTAGAATATTTGGACCTAAGAAGGATGAGTTAACCGGAGAGTTCAGACGGTTACACAACGCCGAATTGCGTGAGCTGTATCCGGGTAATATAATTGAGGTAATTTCATCGCGGCGAATCAAATGGGCTTGTAAAGTTGTTGGGCTTAGTAACGAGAGAATTCCTAAAAGATTAATATTTGCTGTGCCGAATGGTAAGCGTCCGAGGGGTAGACAGAAGCGAAGGTGGGAAGATTGCATTAAAGCCGATCTGAAGGGACTGGGTTTGGACGGCGAACGGTGGAGGGAGGTGTGTAATAAGCGATTGGTGATGTCGGCATCGAACCTTCGGGTTCACTAAGCCTTTTATTATTATTATTATTATTATTTTCTTTTGTGGATGATAATGTTGTGGTCACTTTTTGATTGATTTGATTTATCCACGACTACTCAGTTACTTATTTTTCCAAGGACCTTAGAAACATTTGTCAAACCGATTTTATAAACGTCTGTCAAACCAATTTTGAAAAATGTCTTCTGACTTTTTTAGGGCACTACTACATTTTTTCTTAGATAAAGATTTTTCTGTTAAATCACAATTTGATACTATAATAGTACAGTGACGATATTTAATGGTTCAAAATAAACCTTTAGGGCCAGTTGCTCCAACACAGTAAAGCTTAGATTAAGCGTTATCTAAGATTAGACCGAGTTTCACCCGTCGCTCAAACGAAGCTCTGCTTTGCAATCGAGTTTAATCTTGATCTGTCAACCATGGGCGATTAAGCTTTACTTCAAAGGAAAAACTTAGTTACCTAAGGTTACCCTTGGCAACTATAATAATCTTCCACAGTTTTTCCTGTATTATTTGTGTTAATCATTATTATTTATCTTTTCTCTTGCAAAAATGGTTATGCTCGATTTTGGTGACCTCACAGATGATGAGCCTTTCCTCGATTTAATTGTATTTTAATTAATGGAGAAAAAAGTATATCATCCTCGGATGGACTATTGAACTTGGACTTTCGTTAAATGAAAACAAACTCTTGATATTGAGAAGCTCACATAAAGAACTGTAGAAAAACCCGTTAATAACCTACTTTCTTTCTACATCTTGGTTTAGATTTAACTTCTTACGAACGACCAAAAGTGGTTATGACAGAGCTGAGCTGTTACTGGTAGATTAAGCTCAGATAACTGAATCTTGGTTAAAACTGTGAATTTTGCAACTGACCCTTAGTATCCCACTCTATCTTAAGAGATAAAATTTAAGTAATAAAATGTTGAATTTCTATATTATTTCATTTTAAATATATCAGATTAAATTATTAAACTGGATTTTCATTTAGAAAAACTTACAAGTTTTATGCCTAAAAATGTTATAATATATTTTATTTGATACATTGCCTAACTAAACATTTTTTCCATCTCTCTGGCAATGAATGAATGCCATGCCAGAAAAACTTGCTATTTTGTGCCAACCTGACATCAAGCCATTTCTATGTGCTTTCATAAGATCTTACATGCATCACATCTCTTCATACTTAAATAAAAGTATTCTCTTTTTATGTTTATATCACTAAAATCGCCATTTTGCAATTTGAAACTAAAAGTTGCCATTTCTATGTTTAATAGAATAAAAACATTTTTTAATTATTAGAAATCTTCAATTTAATTATAAATAAAATAATTATAAATTGAAATCCTTAAAATTCTAATTTACTCCTCATTTCAGCTGATGTCGCAAAAATATCAGACAACAGCTAGCCTTCTGAAAGTTTGCGATTTAGCTTCTTCTCTGGGTAACACAGCTCTTGCACAAGTTTCATATTCTGTTTTAAGCTTGTGTCCACCTGATAACCATACCTTAACAACTCTTCAGAATTTATTCCATGAAGAATCGCCAACATCTTCTAATTCTGTTGATGTTGAATCGGCATTTTACAATCAGTCATCTCCTCAAGTTTTGTATCATTTAGAGGTAAGTTGCTTTTCTATTTTTTTTTTTTTTCATTATTAATAACTTAAAAAAAAAAATTTCCTAGTTTGGTCAGTATAGCTCCTTCATTTCTATTGGTTACTTAATTACCTACTTATATTTGAAGATCTATGATTTATCATTTGAGAATAAAATATGGGAGCCAATATCCAGTTATTAGTCCAATTAAAGAATGCTCCAAAATAGGATAGAAGGAAATGGAGGGAACACAATTTTTGACTTAGATTGCTTTATTTTTACAATTAAGTTTTGAGGAAGAAAGTTTTTAGTAATTAAAGAATATATATTATTTTACTAGTTTATCCTTAACTGTTCCAAACTTAGATTGATTATAACTTTATATGTCAATTCCGAGAATATGCAGAAAAAATTAATTTTTATAATATTCGTTATTATTATATTTCTCTAAATCGCTATATATATATATATATATATATATATATATATATATATATATTATATAGTAAGTATTTATTACTAGTATTTATTAAAATATTATATATATATATATATATATTAATAATATATATATATATATATTAAAAAATAATTTTAAAAATAAACGTTATTGTATGTATGTATGTATATATATATATATATATATATATATATATATATATATATATATATATACATATACATACATACAATAACGTTTATTTAAAAAAAAAAATTTTGTGCAAATTCTTGGAATCAGCATATAAAGTTATAACTGATCTAACTTTTGAAGAGTTGAAGATCAAGTAATAAAATAATATATATTCTTGAAGAAAATTTAATTATTAAAAACTTTCGGTATTTGTGAGCGACGCAGGCTCTATGGACTGCTATCTGCCAATGTTTATAATCTGAACACTGATAATTGTGATAAGGCACTGATAATCCCTATTTCCATATGAAATTAGACTCTCGTATAATAATGAAATATAAATATATTTGGTGTTGCCTCTTTTTTGCCTGTTTCTTATTTATATATATATATATATATATACCTTTATATATTAATAAAACATATAAATAACAACAACACTTTAAATAGCAAGATCACTGCAGATAGCAGTCCATAGAGCCCGTGTCTCTCACAAGTACCAAACTTTCTTCCCCATGACTTAATTGTAAAACAAAGCAATCAAGAGTTAACTCGTTAAGCACAGTAAAAACATCAGGTAAAAAATAATATTTCTACATTGGCGATAGTTAAGAACAGATATTTCGGAAACTAAGCGAGATAGCAAAAAAAATTATGTAATCAATCATATTGAAAACTTTATAAGCTTTAATTTTGTGTATAATGTCTTTGTCGATGCGATAGATAGTTTTCCTGATATGAGCGAAAACTCGTAAAACAGCAATAAACATGAGGCAATTTTTTTTTCTTCAAAATTAGCCATAGTTGAGGACGGATATGTTGAAAACTTAGCGAGGTAGGGAAAAAAAATATATAATATAATCAATCATATTGCAAATTTTATCAGCTTTAATTTTGTAAAGAAAGTCTTTGTCAATGCGATAGATAGTTTTCTTGATATAAGCAAAAACCCGAAAAAAGTGATCTATTAGGCGTCCCCTCCTCACCCCTCCCCCTCACCACATTGGCTCACCACCTAGGACTGGGGACTTTTAGTATGTTTATCTCCTTACTAGTCCAAAACAATGTCCTGAAGTCAAAAATTGTGTCCCCACCATTTTCTTCTATAATCATTCATTGATTGGACTAATCTTATAATTTAAGATATTATTTGACTTTTTTCTGTGCTTTTCATTTATCACAACATTATATAGTAAAATTATTATATTATCGAGAAAACATGTTTTAATATATCTTAAATATTTATGCAAACATGTTATTTAAACTGAGGTGTTCATTATTATTTTTTTTTTTTTTAAGGTTCTTTATGCCATTTTGATGCCAGCTATCGATCCTGTTTCTGAAAAAGCTTTTGAAATGCAATTCAACTTTTTTAAGAGTAAATGTTGTAATATTTTACTCGAAATAATTACCAAAGACAATTTCATGTCTACTTCTGACATTGTTGGTAAAAGGTAAGATTACTGAAATATTTTATTTCAATTACAGTAAATATAAGTTTATTATTTTTAATTTTTATAAAAACTTTGCATTTGAAGGCGTTCAAGTAATGACGAATGAATGACATAACAGCTTTAGTAAAACTATATTTTTCATACATAAATTAAATGTATTAAATATTTATATTTTAAAATTTAATTATTGAGTAATTTGTAATAATGATGTTTTAACTGTAAAACAAAAATCAATGCAATAGGTATGTAACAAATTTTTTAGTAAATAGCTCAAATAATTTTCAAGTCAGATGTCTCAGATCAACCAGTGAGGTTCTGTGACAATTTGAACTCAAAATGCTAGCAAATTATCGTATATAGTGTTTAAACTGTTCCTTTTAAAGATATGTAATGATTTTATGATCGAAAAGCTCGTCCAATTTAAAAAATTGGTTGCTCAAAACACTGTTTGTGATTCAGTGAAGTTTTTCTCATTTTTATTTAAATTGTTTTGTATGATAATTTTTCAATAATTTGAGGATGTACGTGCAAAATGTGCTTGTAGTATTCTAGGGCTGCTTTTCTAATCGCTTCCTACAAGACATATAATATAATAATTTAAGAAAGTTTTGTAACAATTTTAAATTGATTAGTTCAGTAGGTAAAATAATGGTGTGTTTTTTATAACAGCCTTATAGCTCTTTTTTGCAATAATTGCAAGTCTGTATATTCAGGTCCCCGTTTTAATAGGCATACACGCCTTAAAAGTATTGTCTTTTAATTTATGGCAATATGCTGTTTAATTGATGTGAGGCACTATAATGAATAAAAGAAAGCAGGAGAAATATTGCATGATAAATGAATTTGAAACTGAATGTAAACAAATAAAAGAGACAAGGAAAAGAAAAATATGTCAGCTCAGCTTTTGGCAAAAAGATGAGCAAAAAACTAATTTAAACCTTAAAAATGACTAGCAATTAATTTATATAATTCTCTTAATGAACCCTTGACCATAAAGTTAACAGTGATTCAAACAATTTTAAACCAATAGAAAATTGTGCGTTGCTCATTGAACAACACGAATGGACATATTTGGAATGTTTTAACTTTTCACAGCTTAAATAAAATGGTCAAAATTTATTCCAAGTGTCTGTTTTAAAATTTAAGAAAACCTATTAAGGCCTTGGATGAAATGTTATTTTTCACGTAATTTCTTTCCATGTTTAAAGTGGGATTAAATTTTTACTGGTTAAGCTATTTCCACATTAGCTATAAATAATTAAGTTGTCATGTTACCTATATTTTTATTTTCACTTTCAACTAGATCATTATGCTGCTTATATTAGTTGCTTGCTGTTAATTTTTGTATAGAATAATCAACATTAATAAAGATACACATTATTTAATTAAATATCTGGCTTTGCTTTATCCATTTATATTTTTAAAGTTAATTGCTTTTGATTTATAAATTTAAGTCCACTTGAGTATATATTTGATCATTGAATTATTTCTCAACATAATAATCATTATCAATACATGAAACATTTACTTGTGTTAGATCAATTTATTCAATTTTTTATTAAATATTTTTACATTCAATAAAATTATGTATTTTATTTGGAAAATGTTTAAGTATTTTTTGATTGAGTCACCATCTTTGATGAAGTTTTAGTTTTATGTTGTTGGTCGCTACTAATCAATACTATTATATTCTAGCTTCCTATTACAATCTACCTTCTTAAAAAAGAGGAATAAGTTGGTGTTAAATTGGTTAATCTGGACTTTTCTTTTATAATCTGGGGCATTCATAAAAATAGTAATAAAATGAATGATATATTGGTATAAAAACATTTGCCCATTCCTTATCATCTTTCAATATCACATTCGATGACATTTAGTAGAAGGAAATCAACTCACAAGATATGCAAAAATGAGTTTGAGATTGTTTTCAATAGGACAAGTCCTTATTATTTTCCGTGGAAAGGACAGTCTTTTGATACAGGTATCTCTAATGGAAAATCAAAATTAAAAAAAATGTTAGTTATAGATTTTTTTCTTTGTTTAAAAAACAAACACAAAAAAGTGAACTTTTGATCAATCTACTGGTTTTATTGCAATATTTTGCTATGTTGAATGAAATGTATAATAAAATTAGTTTAGTGACTAAAAGTTTAAAAAAACAAATATCAGCATAATCATTACTTTTTCTACTGTTCGTGCAATGTGAGATGTCTTTTTGTGCAGCCAGGGGTCTCCAAACTACGCCCTGCCAAAGTTTCTTAGATTACGTTATAAAATTTTAAAAACTATTTAAAAATATGAAATTTAGCAAATTACTCACAAACAAGGTTACTAAAACATTTATCGCATGGTTTTTTCTCTTAGGAAGCTCATTTTACAGCTAAAATATCATCTATAGAAAAAGGTTTTTTTTTTTATCACAAGGCAGGCACAAGGGCTGCAGGACATGGGTGGAGGCCTTTATGTGGCCCGCAGGCCAAAAAGTTTAGTGACACCTGGCCTAGAACAAGCTCTCCATCATCCTCCAACAATTCTATTCCAGACTTCTCTTTGTAAAGCACCACATACTCTTTCTTCCCAGATATTTTGGTGTCTTCTTCTGAATCTTCTTCCTTCAACCTTCATATCATATGTCATAGCAAGATGCACCAATTGAAAAAAATGGTCCTAAAAATTTGGAAATTGAGGCATCACATCATATTCAAAAGGAAACCAGGTTTCAACAAAAATCATAGTTCTATGTGGAAACTACTGTTTCATTGACAGAATTGTTAGTTGGAAGCAGTAGTAGTAAATAATGATGGTTAGACTTCAATCAGATTGCTGTCAAAAAACTCGAAAAGAAGACGGTGCTCTCTGCATTGTAAAATTAAGAATGCATAATTCATTCCAGAAGATATTGGTGGAAGGAAGCACTAAAAAAAAAAAAAATAAGAAATAGAATTATTTTAAATTAAATTCGAATAAAGCCTCAGGCATTCCTGCATATTTTTTTTTTTAGAAGGAGGATATGTAAACCTATTCTCTTTACTTTACCTATTTCCTTTATAGCATGCATTTTTTATTTTAAATGTATACTTATTTTAAGGACCTACCAGGACTTCTTCAATAATTTTCTAATTTGATAGCATGAATAAATATGTCAATTTTAATTTAAGGAAAGCTTATTGATTTTATTATTGTTTTATTTATTGATTTTTTTGTAGGCATGCTTATTTAACTGTACTGAAGATTTGCAAGCTTATTCTTTGTACAATTGGTCACATTTTATATATTATTGCCGAAAACAATATCCAACAACAGCAACAAGGCAATACCAATTCTTCATTGAATAACTCTACAAATAATACAACTCTTCTTAAAGAAGCACTGTGCAATATACCTAGCCCCACTACTGAGATTATTACAAGGAATGTAGCATCAAAACTTGCTAGAGCTTATTTAGAGAAGGTCAGAATTAATTTATAATTATTTATTGCATGGAAGGCTCTTTATTTTAGATTTTAGAATTCTAGTGAGCTAAGACTTTTGTCTATAATCTTACAGGTATGAATTTATTCCTTACTTAAGAAGTTTTTCCAATAAGTCAAGGTCTTTTTATTTATTTATTTTTTAAATTCTCTGAAGATCCTTTTCTAATTATAGAAAAAAAATGAATAATTCTTTAAATGGTTATTGGTATGATATTTATTCATCGAAAGAAAGTTCAAATTTGGCCAGGAAACCGGAAGCGATAGATGTTTGCTTATGGTGAATCTTATTGAATCTAATGACCGAAATGTGACATCATTGTTGTTGGAAATAAAAATATTGTCACAAGCTTTTGACTGATATTTTACACTAAGATAATGAAACATCCGTAATATTGAAAAGGCTAAACCTTAAGGATGTAATCTGTTGATTGGGAGATGATTAGCAAAAATGTTTTAAAAATATGAAGATATATTCTAAGATACATATTATTGTGATTTTATAAAAAAAATAATACTTTTTCTGAAATTGTTCCTGTAATGCCTGACAAACAGGCTCGATGTATGAGCTACTAGAAAAAATCGTTAGCTAAAAAAAAAACAGGCAGGCCGAGGTTGCTCTAGATGGATAGAGTAGATGCAGATGCCCGATCCCATGCTTCTGATCTGTAACTGGAAAGCAGCAGTCCAGAGCAGTGATGACTGGGTGTCAACAGTGTTGTAATCAAGCTGCAATAAATCTTGTCTCCATATTAAATGTAGTGTCACTTAGGAAAAATAAATTATTCCCTAATAATCCGAACAGAATCTGGCCCAACCATCACAAATTATCAGGACTCCAGTGTACTTAAGTTAAATAAATCACTAGTCTAGTGTGATCCTTAACGTCCTGAACTTATAAATCTACATTATTCAAGTATAAAATTCATTTTTTATTAACAATTTTTTTAGTGAGTTATTTTAGAGCATGAAAGAAAGTGTTTATATTTCTTTAAGATATTGGAAAAAAAAATATTCCAAATTTTCATGTGGGCTTAAGTAGTCCAAATTCATGCCTGTATGATTTTGACTCATTTTTTTCATTCACTTAAATACATATAATTAAGTTTTGTTTCTATAATACTCTTTTTGTTAGTATTTTACTGTTTAAGCACTGTTAAACTTAAAGGTGTTTAGTCTAAGCTAATTCAAACTTTATTTTCAAAAAGGTTTGTCTGATTTAATATCTTTTAATGTGTTATAATAAGGTGTCATTTTAAATAAATAAATTTATGTTAAAATGAATCTTTCTGATTAGTGGCTTAAAAATTAAATAATTACTATTGCTGACAATAGTGTGGTAATTTGATTATAAAGTAGGTTAAGGAACAAATTTTGTTTTAAAGGAATATGAGCAGGAGGATTGACGAATAGAAATAGGTAAGATATTCCAAAAAGATGCAGTAATAATAACAAAAGATTTGCTTAAGGATGTAATTTTTTAAGAGAGAATATATTATTATAAAAGGTTGAAATCTTGAGTTCAAGGACTGAATAATAGAATGTAGAGTCAGGAGTGGTGCATGAATGAAATTTGTCCACAATCCACTCAATGGTTATGATCCTAGACAATTTGTAGGAAACAGAAAATATATCACATTTCTAATAAAATATGATAAAATTTCAAGATTGAAATTACAACCACCGGAGAATGGAAAGAAAATAGTTATGTGGTTATACTCTCAGAATTAGAATTTTACTATACTAAGAGATGATGGTCAATATAAAATACTCAATAAAAATTAAATATTTAGTGAAGTCCGTACATTATTGTAATTCTTTAAAGCATACATTATAAGTAGATGTTTTTATTATTATTTTGCCTGACCCCTAATCTTCATCTCATAGGTTAATATGAGGTATTTTTCCAACAAAATAGGATAAGTGCATTTTTTTTTTTTCTTTTTCGATAATTCGTTTAATGTTTCAATTCAAAATCCTAAGCATAATAGTGGATTGATGGTTGACTAGTGAATAATTGAAGAGAAGTTGATTTTTATATTTGCTGAAATTTCGGCCCAAAGTTTTTGGCTGAACTCCCCAACCGACTTCTTTTCAAAATTCTAAACTGTCTTCATCTGCAGGCAAAGTTTTTAAGTTTGATGACTCAAATTATTTAGTGAAACCCACTAAGTGTTCTGAAATGATTTAATGTCAAAATACCAATAAATGATTTTTTTAAAATGTATTAAATCTACCCGTTATACCGATTTTTTGAGTTAATGGCTGGCTGAACAGATTTTCAAATTATTCAGCGAAATACCAATGTTTTGAAACAATTTGTGCTCGAAATACTGAAAAGTGTATTAAATGTCTATATCCGTATAAAGTATATGTTTTGAGCAAATGGCTCTGCCGATTTTTAAATTATACAGCTCAAATTAACAGTGACATCTCATGAATGATTTAAGGGCTTATTTTTTTTTCAAATATTATTTTATCATGGAATTATTTTATGTTAGTTTTGTTTAAACATTTTTTAAAAAAAAAGTTTAAAGTTTTACATTTTTACATTAAACATTTTTGTTTTGTTAAATAAAATTAATTAATTTACTAAAGTATTGTAATTCACTTTACAGTTTGGGTTTAACAATAAATGGAATGGATGGACACCACCGGATGAGTTATTGAGAGCTCTGATGAAATTAGCGTGGGCTTCTGCTGCTGCTGATATTACTCTTATTTCAGCTGATCCTCAGGCAATCCATGACGCTATCGCTCGTGCCACGCCAACAACATTTGATATATTAGGTTAAAAAAAAATGCTCTTCTATGTGTTAATAATATTTAAATAATAAAATTAAGAAGAACTATCATAACATTATTGATACAAAGGGTATACTCGATATTTGTTCAAATATTGTTCCTCTCTTAAAAGGCATTTATAGTACAATTTTGTTTCTGAGTTTGTTCTTCTTTTTATTGTAAATTTAGAATTAAACATTGAGAGGCCACTGGAAAAAAAGAATAAGAATTATGAAAATAAACACCAAACTAAGTGTTCCCCTTGAAAAAAAAATATCAAATGTCAAGTTCACCCTTTGTATCCATTCGGCCTCAATTCAGCACTGTAGCTGGATTTCTATAATTAGTATTTAAAGGTGAACTCCTCAATTTTTAGTCAGAAAGCCTAAATATTATGTCAATTGGCCACCATTTAATTTTTATGAGAACTTCATTTGGTAATTGAAGATAGCTTGTAAGCTCTTTTTTACGGAAAGATGAAATTATTAAAATTTGAGGCAGATAGTGATCACCATCAAACCTGCTTTTAACACTGCAAAGGTCGCTAGGATTAGAGACCCATGGAAAGTCGTTATAGATCTATGAGATTCACCTCTAAATCAATTTATTGATCAAAAATACCAATGAATTTCATTCATTTTACTGAAAGATAACAACATAACATGAGTTTTGAAATATATTTATTGAGTAAAAAACACAGTAACATGATTTAAAAATAATATATTAAAAATGAGAACAAAAAATACGTTGACGAAATTAGAAACTTAACCATTAAATTCAGTATTTCATTAAATACGAACACAAAATTACTGAATACTAGAAACAATTACAATAGGAAATTGGATTCAAGAATGATTAGATACAAGAATAATTAATGCAAACATCATCACAACATCAACTTCATAAAAGCCTCCAATTTCTCGTCTGTTTAACTTCATGTCTGTTCCTACTGAATTACAAAATGGCAGTTTCTGACACTCTTCAAATATGTCCCAGACAGGTGTCTGTCGATCTATTTCTTTACGTTGTTGACGTGTTCCTCAGTCGCCAAATTTTAAGGATCAAAGTAAAAAATTGAAACCTTTGTACATTGGGACAAAATATTTCGATTCCAAACTTGGAATTAATTGTGCCACTTGATAGCCATATTTTTTCTCCCAGCTTTATGGTTTTCTCCAATAGATAACAGCCCATTAAAGGCTTTGGTTTCAATTATGTCAGTTGCCATTGCATCCCTTTCCTGAAAAATTTCAAGGTACGCCATCAATCCTCAAGTTTTAGGACAAAAATGGGATGCAACGCAGATTAATTCACTGCTGCATTTTAAGACTCCAAGAGCCGGAAGGATATGTGGAAGCAAAGTCCTCCTTTCCCAAGCAGTAAAAAAATACATCAAATAGACCACTCGGCAGATCTCTCAGATCCGTTGCGACTCTCTTAGTGTTAACAGTAGACAAGGAGCAGTCTTTGGACATAAACACACACAAAAAAAAAAGTAGTTTATTTGAAAGATTTCATCTATAAATTCTCCTAGGTTCATCGAATAATAATTAACAAAATTGTTATATTTTTAATTTCAGTTTGCAAAGAAGCATTAGAAGATTTAACAATAGCTCTTGTTCTTAATTCTTCGGCCTTAGGGTACTTAATGGAAGAAAAATGTTGGCAGACGTTCATAATTGATCTGGTGCTTCTATGCAGCAACAGGTAGGATTTTTTTCTATTTTGTAGTTTAATCTGATTTTACTTTTAAATTTAGTTGTCTTATGTGTTATACTTCTTTTCCAAAGACAGATAATTTTAATTAATATTATTTTTCAGTTTAATACAAAGATTTGTCAGATCCCATCTTGCTCAAATCCATTTTCCTTCCTTCTTTCTATCTCCTTACCCTCCCCCAGCTTTACATGACTGAAGTTGTGTGTCAATGAACTATTAGTCATTTTATTCTGCAATATTTTCTTTTCAAATTTTACTGGATTATAGTTGCATTTGAAATATGCTATAATCCATGTTTTATGATTTTCTTTCAATTTAGAGTTCCCAACTAACTATACACTCATGTGGTTATGTCAAGGTGATATTATTTTTTATGGGAATATTGTAAACATATTATATTTATGGTTTTTTTTTTTATTCATCATTGACCATAACCCCTACCAACTTCTGCTATTCTTTCATCCATTGTTCAAACCTCCATTTTTTACCCCACTGTCTATTTTAATCAAACTATAAATAATTATCTTCATAAACTTTTTTTGCAACCCTAAGTATGATTTGTAATATTTTTCAGATATAATCATTCTCTATTTAGTCACTATTAAACCCTACTATTAACTATTAAGTATTGTTCCTTAATTGTTAAACCAATTCCTTTTTTTTAAAATTCATTGTCTATTTGTTTTTCATTTTAGGTCCATAAGAATAGTGGCTGCAGAACAATTTCTATTAATGGTTACCTTTGGAACATCACATAAACCATTGCACTTTAGTATAATTCTTCTTTTTAATGTTCTTCAAAATTTAGTATTAAATTATGCCAAAAATTCGCATGAATATTTTCAGGTAAAATTGGTTACAAAAGTAAAAAAAAAAAAAAAAGCTTTATTTTATTTTATTAATACTATTTTATTTTATTTTTTTTTAGCTCTTGTGCCGATTGTTAAATTTTGCATATATGTATAATTGCCCACTTAGTACAGCTGAAACACTTTTAAATCAGGAGATTAAATGGTTGAAGTCTACAAAAGTTAGTAACCCACTCTGTGATATAGTTACCAATGATTGTAAAAATTATTTATTTTATTTCCTTATTATAATTAATTATTTTTTAAGGAACAAGTAAAAGAAACTGGATGTACGGGGGTTGAAGAGGCTGTTTTAGATGGACATCTAGGAATTGCTAAAGAACTTTTATCATTCATTTCACCAGAGAAAAAATTCCAAATAGGATCTGATGAAAATACAGGCATCAATTTGATAAAGGTTTGTTTTATTTATAGATACAAAAACAGTTAAAGCAAATTATTCTTGGTGATATGTTCTGTAAATATGCTGTGGGTTCTGAAACTGTGAACTCGAAATGATATTTTTTGTGAGATGAGAGATTTTTTAACAATATTAATAATTTTGTTTTTCTTGTTTTACTGCTTTTAAAATGGAGGTGGGGTAGCTCATTTAGTAAGGTGCTGTGCAAGGCACTCTTTGCTCTAGGTCTTGGCTTCTAATCTGGCTATGGCAAGTCATATTTATTCTGTTACATCAGCTGTTGATCAACTCTGTAGTCTGGGGACCTAATTGGGGCACACACAACCCCTAAAACTTGGTACTCTTAATTAAATAATGAACTGAGAAAAAAAAACTGTTCGAAGCCATTTAACAAAGCCATTCTCAAGTTCAACAATCTTTTCAGTTATTATTTAAATTTGCATGGCTTCATCATCATTACCGATGTTTGGTATCAGCCCACAGTTTTTTCAACTTGATTTCGATGTTCATTGAAAAGTTTTGGTTCTCGCAGTGACTCTTTCATGTTGACAATGCACTTTGCTATGTCAACATGTTTCCATCTTTTTCCGAAATGTGAAATGGATGAAGATGACTCTTCATAACTGTATTAATCTATTTTTATCTTAAACAGCTACTCAATTTTTTTCTGTGTAGGTAGGAACTTATTTCCTTTTGCTTTTAGTTGACTTAATGAATCACAAACATAGTAGAAGAGATACGTGCTATATACTTAATGACGTACTATAAATAATTATAATGAATGATACATAATGATGTAGAGATGGTTGATCGTTGATATAATATGAGAAGGAGTTAATCGGAGGGTTTGGTCAAAAAATACTAAATTAAACAAATAGTATTATTTAATTTTTGCCACCGTTTCGACCCACTTTGCAGGTCTTCATCAGGGTAGGATGTAGCACTGCGGGAGGCAGTTGAAACACTCAAGCACCAATAAAACTTGTTTATTTAGCTAGTAACTGATATGTATATAAATATTAATGTACAAATAAATATATCTTTTATTCATAAATAGTCATTTCAAGTCATGAATAAGATCTACAATTTTTTAATCCACAAATACTGAAAATATTAATAACTTAACCATGAATAAGGATCTTTGGCTATAACTTTATTTTTTAATTTTTACCAGTAAAATTTATATTGTGTAATTGAATTGATTAGTCAAATATTTAATTATATAAATTTGCCTTTAATTCATGACTTCTAAATACCATCAACTAAGGTAACTTTGAAGAAAAAGAAAAAAAAAAAGTATGTGGTTGGTCATTCCATGCCAAATCATCCAGAAAAAGTTCAATTTGTAACCTACCCCCTTCAAATCTTAATGAAAAATTGCAAATATTAAGTAAAAATACATATAAATAAAAATATCAACTTTTAGCCAATTCCAACTTTTAATTTCAGAATTATGGGCTTTTAAACTTTTGATATATTTGAAGTTGGGAAGACATTTTGGGCTAAAAACCAGCATGTACCTGTTTGGTTTTCATTTGTAAAACCAATATTCATTGACCAAGAGCTTTCAAAATTTATTCATTTGTCATAAATTGAATACAGAATCTACTGATATCATAAGTTTTAGCATTACAATTTTTCTTCAGGTATAAAAAAAATCTTGAACATACATTTTTTTTATACCTGAAGAAAAATTGTAATGCTAAAACTTATTATATCAGCACATTCTTTATTCAATTTATGACAAATGAATAAATCTTAAAAGCTGGTGGTCAATGAATATGGGTTTTACAAATGAAAACCAAACAGCGACATGCTGGTTTTTAGCCCAAAATGTCTTTCAAACTTCAAATATTTCAAAAGTTTAAAAGCCCATAATTCTGAATTAATCGTTAGAATTGGCTAAAATTTGGTATATTTACTTAGTATTTACAAATTTTCATTACGTTCTGAGGAGGGGGTGGGTTACGGGCTCTGGATGATTTGGCATTTAATGGCCCTGCTGTATTTAAATGAGAAACATTGTCACTTATTATTTCCACCATTTGCCTCTGGAAATAAATAAGTGAAAATCACTCTTTTCGTCTAGATGTTCATAAAATCTTTTTTTCTTTTTTGTGGCTAAGTTGCCTGCAAGGGCTTTAGTTACCGTAGTTGACTGTTATTTAAATAAATGATCATAAACATACATAATTAGATATGAAATAGTTAACCATAGTTCCGGTCTAGAACATGGTTGAAGACTGTTCCATATGAAAATGTTGATGATATAATGTATGCCTGAATCTAGAAGAGTTAAATTGACGACTTACCTCTTAAACCTTGCAAGTACATAGTAAATTAAATTTATAAGATTTTGAAAATTAAGATATTACTGGAAAATTCCAAAAGCATAGCCTTGATGCTCTAAAATGCTTTTAGAGTTTATGCTCTTTTCTATTAATAATAATAAATTTATTTATTGAGCAATTTTACAAATGCCTTTTGGTATATTTTGTAAATGTGATGTTCGTTAGCGAACCTCCTCTCCGGGAGGATTAGCGTGAATGCGTGATAGGAGAAAACTCCCAGTGAAGGCACTCCTAACGTGTTTTCTATTAATATATTAAACTATTGGATATTTTTTACTGCCACCTGATCATTATTTAGACTTAAATAAGATAGTATATTTAAATTTCTAATTTTAGGAATTAGTTGAAGATTTCATCTTTCCTGCATCCAAAATGATGCTGCATCTTCAAAAGACTGGTGAGCTGAGTGGTGAACAAGCAGTACCTGTTTGTAGCACTCCTTTAACTCTTAGTTCGGCTTTTGAACTTCTTGTTTCTCTCTGTGATAACTGTGCACCCAACATGAAACTTCTAGTCACTATGCTTACTGATATGTTTTACACAGGTTTGTTCAATTATTTTTTTTATTTATCTATTTTTTTTATTAAAATAAATATAAACAGCTGTTTAGTATGTTAATTGCATTAAGTAACAAACATTACATGCATAGACTCTCATTGTTGTAAGATTCAAGGAATAAATGAATTGTGAACTTTAGAAACTCCTCACATCTGGAGGGATAGACCATTCCGGACAGAACGGTTCATGGAACTAATTCCGGTGGAACAGAACGAGACCCTAGAAAACTTCCTTCTAAGAATATAAACTTCTTTAGGGTGGGGGGGTGGCCGAATGGGCTAAGGCGTGTGCACTGCACCGCCGTTGCCCGGCAACCTGATATATAAGATTGTGATAAAAAAATAACCACGAGTTCGAGTCCCGGTGCCAAGGGAGTCTTTTAAATCCCCGCCCACATCCCCTGGCCCGGGAAAACCCCGTATAGCCTTAACGGCGAGGAAGGGGAGGACAAAAAAAAAAAAAAAAAACTTCCTTAGGTTTTGATGGGTAAATCGCTGCTAGAAAAGTCAAATAGGTACAAAAGGCATTTGTAGCAATTACGATTAGAGCACTGATTGTCACTGAAGTGGCTTAACGGAATAGTTGAATAGATTGTTTGCTTCAAAAGTGAACCATAATAACTAATTTAAATTAATTAAAAAATTGGAATTTAAAAACAGTAATTTTTACTCAGCTGATAGTCGAGCCAGGCATTCGTTAATCAACTTATGTTAATTTGTTAATAACAAATGTTAAAAATTAACATGCCATTTTGAAAAGATCCGTTGGCATGGAATCGAAGCCACTTATACTCATCATTTCTTTGACAATGATGTGCAAATTAGGGTGGTTGTTCTGCAAACCAAACCACCCACTAATAGGATCTTCGTATATAAAATATCCTTTTCTAAGTACCTGTTTACTTCAATCATTGCCTTTGATTCAGGTGTTCCATTTGGAGAATGTTGCTCTCGAGCTCCCATCAATGTTTCTAAAACTTCAAGTTCTTTTTTTTTTTCTTAATTTTTCTGCAATCTTCTCTGTTTATCTTCATTTTTCTCTGCCTCAATGATTTTTCAGTTGTTTTAAACATCTTTTCTATTACACATATTTGCTTCATTATTCTCTATCACGTTTCTAGTGTTGTTCGAAACAACGATGGAACGAAACGAGAACTGGAACGAATTCCAGTGATGGAAAATTCTGTTCCGTTCCTCTTCTCAGCTCCAGTTCTAAAACCTTTGGTCCTCTCCTCCCATTAAGTGATTTTTCATCACTTTTATAATTAAAAATTTTTTAGCATTTTTTCTTAGTTTGAACATTTCAATGTTTATTAGATTTTTTTTGGCAAATTTAACTTTTCTCAATTATTATTAATATATATATATCCGTACATATATTATTACAGTAAGGCTCGAAATCGGTTTTGTACCAAATATAAGCTCCTGTCATGCTCAAATACCATGAATGGGGTACTGTTGGATTCAGAATTTCACGGTGGGTTAGCGAATCGTATTCTCCGCTTTTGTTTTTCTTTCTAAAATGAATAAAGTAAAGTCGATACAAACATTTTGCTAGGCTTCAATACTGGAGCAGTGGTAGGTCTGTAGATCGATGCGGGACAAATTGGACCTTGAAGATTTTTATGCGTACAGCAAGACCCTGATAGTTCCTCCAGAACTATCGGATCCTGCGTTTTTAAGCCCAAAAACGTACTATTTTCGAGATAACGCAAGACAAGGGGTTCGCTTCCTTCTCCTTCAGGCGGGCAAAATAGTCCAATCATCCCGAAAATTCAGGCAAACAAGTTATGAAAGAAAAGAAACTTTACTTGGGAATAACTAAAAAATTACACACTTTTCCCTTGGTTTTTCTATGGTTATATAAAACATTACTAAATTGTCTATAAAAGGAAAAAAAAATCATTGAAATCGGTCAACTTTTCGCAAAGATACAGCTTATTGAAATTTGTAAATATGTTGGTTCCAAATAAAAATGTAGATTTAAATTAATTTTGTTTCCTTGGTCGATTATATTTCTTGATAAAGTAATAATTGATTACGTAATCTTTTGATACATTGCATTATTTTCTTTTCTTATTAATTTGGTATTTGATAACAATATGCTGTGCGAATTTTTCCCACAGGCCTACTAGTGTATATATATATATAATAAAATATCTTGTAAATCATTAAACTGAAAATAAATTAATTTATATTCAAAATTATCTTAAGAACGTTGACCGATTTTAAAGAATGAAATTAGTTTAGAGTATAGATGTTTATTTTCTTAATTATTTATTTTCAATTGGGTATCATTGAATTTATTAAATTTAATCTTTTGAGGAAAAATGTCTGCTTACATTGTTTCTCAGATGATTCTTGCAGGATGTAGTGATTGTTATTTTATTTTATTTTTTTTTTTTGAGATGCTTATCAAACTGTAATTTCAGAAAATGATGAAGGACTTCAGGAGTGGGACTATCTACCTCCTATTGGTCCTCGTCCTATATCTGGATTTGTTGGCTTAAAAAATGCTGGAGCTACGTGTTATATGAACTCTGTTCTTCAGCAACTCTATATGGTTCCTGGAATCAGAATAGGTCTTTTAGCTGCTGAAGGTGCCACTACTGATTCTGATGACTTTTATAGTAATGAAAATGAAGTAAGACTCCTGATGTTTTATTTTTTATAGCATATTGCTCTATTTTAATAGTTTTTAATGCTTTATCCTTTCCTGTTATAATATTTTAGTTTTATATATATATATTCGGACTGAAGAAGGATAAGTCAACCGGAGAATTTGGGTGGTTACACTGTGCGAACTGTATTTGGTTAATATAATTGAGATGATTGAGTTGAGGTGAATAAAGTGGGCATGTAAAATCGCTGGGCTTAGTAATGAAAGGATCCCTAAAAATTAATATATGCTAAGCCAACTGGCAGGCTTCCGAGGGGTAGACCAAAGCGAAGGTGGGAAGATTGCGTTAAGGCCAATTCAAAGGGACTGGGTTTGGACTGTACCCGTTGGATGAAAGAATGTGGACATTGATTGGTGGTATCGCTAATGAAATTTCGGGTTTGCTAAGCTTTATTATTATTATTTTATTTTTAGTGTACAGAATAGATAGATATTATTAAATTCTGATCAAATCTATTGGGCATTTATAGGAATGTTTTTGGATTAATATACACTGCAGGACAAAATTAGTTTACCACTTAACTAATATAACAACTACCTATATATTGATAGTAACAGATTCACCTGTTTTACAAATTGGCAATTGCTGCTGATTTCTTCTTCTTCTTCCTCCTTGTGACCTTCAACGTGGACGTGCTTCAGTCCATGCCAGTCATGCATCCCGGTCTCTGGCCAGCGCCTTCATGGCATTCAGCCCGCATCCTCTCTGCTGTCGCAGCTTGGAGATGTGATCCATCCATGTTAGCCTAGGTCCATGTCCATGTCTGCCCCTGGGATGTCTTCCTGTTGACCTAGCTTCGAAATACTTCCTTGGATCCCAATCTTCTTCCATTCGGCAAAGGTGGCCAAATCATTTCAGCTGCCTCCTTTCCATCACTTCTTTTACAGCTGAAAGTCCCAGGTCCTCTTGTATTCGCTGATTTCTAACCAGATCTCTTCCGGTTCTGCCAGCCACTCTCCTCAGATATCTGATTTCTGCGGTTGTTACTCGGCTCCAGTACTTATCCAGTGGGATCCAGCTTTTGCTTCCATAGAGAAGAGTAGGTAGGTATATAGCCTTGAAAACGTGCAGCTTCACGTTTGTCCACTTCACTTTTTTCAGCAATTTTGTTGCATAGTTGGTAGTTGACATTATTTGCCTTTTTGATCCGGTTGAAAACCTTCCCATCAATCTTTCCATTTCTGCTGATGACTGTACCTAGGTAGGTATATTCCTCAATCTTCTCTAAGGTTTCTCCTCTGCATCGGATATCCACATTTTCCTCATTTTGTCCTATGTAAATTAATCCTTTTTTCATTTCGAAAGGTTCGGATTCCTTTCCATTTATTCTTATTACACCCTTTGTGTTGCAGTACGTGGATTTTATAGCATCTATTAGTGCATTGGGTTCATTTTTTGGGACTCGAGCTGCCCATATTTCTTGTCTAAGGACCAAATCAAATGTCGCCTTGATATCAAGAAAAGCTAAAAACATGCTCTTCTTTCGTTTCCATGTTTTTTCAATAATAGCCTCAGAGAGAATACTTGGTCTTGGGTCTGGTATTGCGGTCTAAATGCTGCCTGCTCTTCTTCAAGGTCTACGATTTCCCTCAACTTTCGTTCAAGGATGGATGTGTAGAGGTTGTAAATCATTTAGTAGAGATATATCGATCTGTAATTCTTGCAGTCGCTAGAGCTTCCTTTCTTGTGTATAGGAATGAGGATGTTACATTCCCACTCCTTTGACACAGTTTTTTGGAAACAAGTTGTTTGAAAGAGATCCTGCAGGTGTTTTTGCTGTTCTGGTACTCCAAACTTAGCTCTGGGGCACTGCCATCCCTCCCTGCTGCTCTTCCTGTCTTTAGCTTTTCTATAGCCCTTTCCACATCTTCTTCCAAGATTATATCATCGTAATCTTCTTCTGATAATATCTTATCCGCAGTTGTTTCCGCTTTCATTTGAAAAAACTTCAGCATAATGGCGGTTTCATTTCTTCAAGATTTCCTCATCTCTAGTTACCAGTAGTCCTCCTTCGTCCTTTATATTCCTTATATGGGCTTATTTGTCTTCCCTTTCGATGCTTTAATAGTTTTCCAAAAGATTTTTATGTTTTCTTTATAATCAGTTTGGAGGCTCTGACCAAATTCTCCCCGCTCTTCTTCTATACCACTCTAACTACTTTTTTGGATTCATTCCTTCTGGCATAGTTCCCAGTCCGCTTCACTTTTGGTCTTACAGTATGTTTTCCAAGACAGCTTTTTCCTTGCAATTGCAGCTTTAACTCTCTCATTCCACCATTTTGTTCTTTTTGCTTTAGCTGAGGTCGCTGTTGCTCCCTATGAATGCCATAAATCTAAAATGGCAAAAATCCAAACAAAAAAAAATCTAATTTGTTGAGTTACGATTATTTTACAGATCATCAGTAATGTATATGTTAGCTGAATTCTTATTTTATGTTTATCATTGAATCTGAAGTTTCTTATCAAAATCTTGACTGTTATTTAATACTTGATTTTAAGTATACATAAATTTAAATAAATAATTACGAAATATTAAGTTCTCTTTAGAATAATTTTAAATAAATTAAATCTCTTAATCTCTTTGGTTTAAATGATTTTGTTTTAAGTATTCAACAATATATTACTTCTTGAAATTAATGTGCAAATTTAAATTACACAAGTTTCTTATGAAGACTAACACTGAACAAAGTTAATTTATTAGTATTGACTTATTTATCTTCTCAGTCTTTTCATTTGTCAAAAAAAAAAAAAAAAATATGAATTTCATTAACTTAAGTCATCATCAACCCTGCCTATTAGTCTTGACTGTTACCTGTATGATTTTCCATAATTGATTCTATTTTTTTTTTTTTTTTTTTTTTTTTTTTGTAATTACAGAGTATAATGAGTGGCAGTGGACCTGAAAGTGAAGAAAAATCATCATTAGAAGAATCTAGAAAAGAATATAATATAGGTATTTTAAAACAGGTTCAAGCCATATTTGGTCATCTCGCTTATAGTAAATTACAGTATTATATTCCTAGAGGTCTCTGGAGACATTTTAAGTAAGTTGGTTATTAATATTTTGAAATTTGCTTAACAAAAAGCAAGCATTTAATTTTTTCTGGTATTTTTAGACTTCAAGGAGAACCTGTTAATCTTAGAGAGCAGCAAGATGCTGTAGAATTTTTTATGAGCTTAGTTGAAAGTATAGATGATGCACTTAAAGCTTTAGGTCAAGAACAAATTATGGGTAAAATATTAGGAGGCTCTTATTCTGATCAAAAAATATGTAAAGGCTGTCCGCATAGGTATCTATGATTGAAATTAGCATTTAATTTTTTTAGTTCAAAATACCATTAGAGACCAAATAATAATATATCTTTTCTTTTTTTAGATATTCCAAAGAAGAACCATTTAGTGTTATTAGTGTCGACATTAGGAATCAATCTACATTGCAAGATTCTTTAGAACAGTATGTAAAGGGTGAATTATTAGAAGGAGCTGATGCATACCACTGTGATAAATGTGATAAAAAGGTTTGTTATTTCATGGAATACCTTTTTAGCTATTTTATTTTTAAGTAATAATTGGTCATTCCTATTACAATTTTAATGGTGCTACAATCCTTTCTTCACCACTCCCTATCTCTTCCTCCAACCGTTATGGTCTTGTGGCGACGAAGAGGACATGGTGCCTGAAATTTATTTCATAGAGGACCTACAGAATGAATCTCAACATCCTTAACTGGTTAATAATAGGTTTGATCATTCCTCTAAAATTCTAGAAATAATCTGGTAGATGATAAAGGAAAAATAAAAGTTCTTGTTACAATGCTATTTAGTTCCTGACTTCTAGGATGCTGTACCATCTTCCACCACACCATCTGTCTGCCTCAGTCTTAGTCTTTTCTTTCTTCCTTGTTCCATGAGTTAAAAGTGTCAGCAGTGTGTTTTGCATTTTTTTCATCCATGTTCCTGATGAATTATGGTATATGCTTCTTAAATCCTCAACTTCAGTGTTCTGACATCTGCCTTCCAAAGGGATGAATTGTTTGTAGTTAGTGCGTTGTTTCCATTTTTCTCCAACTTTTACTCTCCCTGGAATTCAATGGAAAAGATCAGAAGCCCTCCTTCTGTTTTCTTAGATGCTGTCTAACACTTAATAATAAGGGATTAATATCTATTAATATTAATAAAAAAAATTATGAGAAAATTATATGGCTATTTATAGCAGGCTGTTCACAAATGATATCATGGATTTTTTGGCCTTTCCTTCCTCATGGTATCCTGCACCACACCGAGCACAACCCTTTCTCACTCATTTATGTTAGGTTAAGTTTTTTTTTACATTAAAACAAGATAAATGAATTTTGCTTTTATTGTTCCTTTTACTCAGGATGGAGATGATCCTTCATCATTTTAATGTTGTCCACCATTGTGTTAAGTCCACACCATTTAACTCTTAAAGAAATTAATGTTATAAATGTTAATGGATTTTTTTATTACAAAATAATTAGAGATTTAATGGGAATAGAAACCTATGATTTAGAATTAAGGGTTTTAACTGATATATCTTTGCTGATAAAGATAATATATAGTACAAAGTAAGTACACAATGTATGAAAAAAGTCTAAAATTCAAGATGTTACTCATTATTTGGTGATAATAAAGTTGACTAAATTGGGGGACAGGATTAGGATTGTAGAATCAGATCCAACAATTTAGTTTTAAAATAAAAATAATATAATATTTTTATATATATTTAGAGCAATACATTTTCATATTTTATCATGGACCATTGACGGTTCTGAATTAAATGTATTGTATTATAGTTCGACTGGAATTAGTTGAAAGCTAGTGGGACAGACATAAGATTTACATAGAGATTAGAGCATAATATGCAAAAAAAAAAAGTTATTTTAAATACCGAATATTTACAAATGTATATATAAATTAGTTTACAATGTCTTTCAATATGTATATTTATTGATAAATATTTTATAAATGATAACAGAGTGTTAGAGTTTTAATTTTGTGTCACATGAGTTCGCCCTTGGGCTGCCAACTAATCGCTGTTGTACTATAACTGATAACTTGATTTCTATTTTGTATTATAATTTTTTTTTAGGTTGTTACTGTTAAGAGATTGTGTGTAAAAAAACTTCCTCCTATTTTGACTATACAGTTAAAAAGGTTTGAGTATGATTTTGAGAGAGTTTGTGCCATAAAGTTTAATGATTATTTTGAATTTCCAAGACTGTTGGATATGGAGCCTTATACAGGTATATTTTAAATATTGAATCTTATATATTTTATAGAAATCTATTGCTTTATTTTACTTTATTGAATGAATGTATAAAGTAGAAATTTTAATAATCCATAAACTTTGAAAACTAAAATAATTGTTGAGATATAATTGAAAGACTGTTCTTTTACATTAACTAAAATAATAATAAATCAACATTTTAAGACTTTTCCAAATTTGTATTAGAAATTATGTCCCAATAAGTGTGAAAACAAAAACTCAAAACTGTTAATAGGTACAGGAATAAAATTTGGTAAGACTCTTCACTGAAACGGTAGAACTATTTAGCATTGAGGACATTAGTCATATTCGGATCGTCATTCTTTGAACTAGATTCTATGAATAGGGTTGTATAAGACATTTTTGCTTTTCGTTCTGATACTGCAAGAGCATGACAAAATTGAATAAAAAACAAGTTAATTAAAAATGACCTAAATATCCAGGCAAATAAAAATATTCTATGCAATAACCACATTTTTAGATTGAGCCTTGATTGATTAAACCTTATAGGATCAGGTTCATCTGTCAAGCCACATAGAGTCAGGTGTCAATCGATCTATACCTTGTTGCTAAAAGTTGTGAAAAGGAAAATTTAAAAAAATAATTCGTAACATTAAAAAAGTGTTATAACTAGAGCTATTCTTCAATTAGCCTGAATTACTACTAATACTTTCAATATATGTATTTTATAAATTCATTTCAACTTATATTATGGAAGAGCTTTAGAGGTATTCAAGAAATAAATTAAAAATATTAAAAAAAAAAAAAATACCTTAACTCTTCATGAATTATATGAAGTATATTAGCAGCACTACAGTAGATGAACTTATAAATACTTATTGACTGATGCAGATTATGACAAAAATGTTTAGGTCACAAGTCGAGAGGAAAACACTTAAACGTTCTGTTTGAAAGATTTATTTGTATGAACATTTTAATAATTATTAAACCATGGAAGATATGATAGTGAATAATGTTCTTATTTTAAATTTTATATAAAGTGAAACTGTTTAATTATTTTGGTTAGTTAATAATTAATTGGTTTTGGATTAAAAAAAAAATATAAGTGGTCCAAAAATTATTTTTTTATAAAATTATAATTTCAAGCCATAGTTTTTTTTCACTATTTTAAGTCTTTTTATGAGACTTGAGGACTATCTCCTTCCTCAATAATATACAACAGTCAACCATTGAGTATTCAATAAATGTTTATATACATATTTTCTTCTTCATAATTTATTTTTATACATAATTTTCATTAATTAAAAAAAATGTATACATTATTTCTACTTGTTTAATTTTATTATAGTGGTGTAGAGATGGTTGACCATAATTGTAATATGAGAAGAAAATGTAATTTTGTTAAAAATATAACTATAATTTTGTTATAGTTTCTGGCCTGGCGAAACTGGAAGGTGAGGTTGATTATGATGGTAACGAAAGTCCGAAAGAGTGCACCAAATATCAACTGACAGGAATTGTTGTTCACAGTGGGCAAGCTAGTGGTGGCCATTATTACTCTTATATTTTACATAGGTAAGTACTTGTTTAAATTTTAAATAAGTCTATATTTTTTTTTTATGATTGTTCTACATTTTTGAAGAGATGTTGGTTGGGGTTTTCACTCAATGAAAGTACAAAGCAAAAATAAACAAATTACGAGGGTGGTCTGAAAAGTTTCCAACCTGACAAAAATACAAGACATTTTTTCTGAATTTTTTATTTTTATTTTTCAACATAGTCTCCTTGTAACTCTACACACTTCTCCCAGCGATGCTCCCATCTCTGTAACCCGTTCAAGAAGTAATCTGGGTTTTTCTCTGCAAAATAATTGTTCACGAAGGTGATTGCCTCTTCATTTGACAAAAATCTCTGTCCTCCCAGTGCAATTTTTAGATAAGGGAACAAAAAGAAGTCGGTTGGGGCTAGATCTGGTGAGTAAGGTGGATAGTCAAGTAGTTCAAACTGTAATTGGTGGATTTTCGCCATGGCAACCGCTGAGTGTGAGACTATGTGGTGTCTTGATGAAACAGGATTTTCTTTTTCTGCAAATGTGGCCGTTTTTCCACAAGCTCTGCCTTCAGCTTGTCAAGTAATGATGTTTAGTATACTTCTGTGATGGTTTTTGCTTTTTGAAGATATTCGATTAAAATAACTCCTTGACTATCAAAATAATTCCCAGCCGAGAAAACAGTTTTTGCTTTTTCTGTAGCCGGTTCCCCCTTTGCACTCCACTGTATTTTTGTTTCAGGCTTGTAATGGTGTATCCAAGTTTCATCTACAGTATTTATTCGGCGCCAAAACTCGGTTTTATTGACAGAGCGTTGGAAATGTTCATTTGAACACATTTTTGGTCTAATGTGAGCAAACGCGGTATCCAACGTGCGGACAGCTAGAGAAAGTAAAAATTATAGAAGCTATATTTCATTATGGGTATTTTTATTGAACATACCCTAATATATTCAAATTTTCTTAATTATATTGCTGTCATTTACACCATTATATATTAATTAATTCCAACAATAGCATTTATGAAAACCGCATTTGTATATTTATAGAATATCGTTAAAGTCCGTATTATATTAAGCTCACATATGGAAGCGTGTTCTAATCTTTCGGATGAGCTCGGATGTGCTCGTATTCCTTTGGTTCTCCAATTACAACTATTCTCAGTTACGATCTATTATTTCTCATTTAGTTAGTTATCAAATTCTTTAATATTTTATATTTAACTATCTTTTATATTAGAAATTTATGTGAAATGATCAATTGTCTCAAATAAAAAAAATTAAAGGTATTTTAGAGGAAGCTGATATTGAAAATTAGCCATTTAAGCCCTGTTGGAGAACATCAATCAGAATAAAACTACATTTTATTTAAAACTGCTTAATTTTATTCTGATATAATGAATTTAATCAAAATGGTTAGAGCCGTTTTCGAGAAAATTGTAAAAATGTGTTTAGACCATGATATAAAGTGCAACTTCAGGTTAGCCAATTTTGACAAAAAAGTTGCTGTATCATCCCTAGCATATAAAAACGTTAAATATGCAATTTCACTTTCGTACGACTTTTCGTTTTTGAGCTAGACTGTTAACACACACACGTAGACCATTTTGCAGGACTTGATCATTTGGACTCAGGGGACCTCAAAACGTGTATTCCCGTTGAAAACTTAAGATTAGAAAATTTTCATGATCGCAATACTTTACTATATATTTCATATATAGGCAAGTGAAAGTAAAAACAATGAAATATTTTTCAAGGGACTATTTATCCTTGCAAAATGCAAAATAAATTTCTTTTTCAACTAGTACTGTAAAACATTTTTAAATGGGCTTAGGCTGTACTTCCTACTTCCCATTTAAGATTAAGGACAATGAAAAATCACTCCAGATCCATGGATTATGACAACTCAAAGTCAGCTGGCACACGAGGACCTTTATTTCTTTTCCTGAAACAGACCGTCCATGGACCATACCTCTGGGGAGTACTAACTTCCTGGAAAACCACATCCGGATTCCTTATCAAAGTATAAGTGGGTAGGATCATTACTCCTATGCCTGATTGGTGTGAGTTCCTTCCAGTAGACTGATGAGTTCCCCATACATCTGAAGAGACATATTTATTTAAATATTTTTTAAGAGTAGTAAAAATGAAACATTTTAAATGATATATCATCTTATACATAGAAAATCACAATGCTCTATGAAAAGTAATACAAAATCTTATCTACATTCATAAAACAAAGAAGAAAAAAATATGTATTGAGAAAAATAAAATCGTGTTACATAATAACTAGCCAGTGACTGTTTGGATGGTTAAAAGGAATTGGAATGAGAGAGTTTTAAGTGTGGATAAGGATGGGGCATGACGGATTTTAAGTGATGGAATTCCAAAAAGTGGTGGAACAGGCAAAAAAGTAGTGTTGAAATATAGCAGATATGTGAAAAGGGGTATAAAAGTCAGATGGACAAGATCTTGTGGTGAGGGATTGAATAAAGGAACTGCATTTGAGGAGATTGTAGGCACAGGAAGGACGATTATTATTAATTACTTGGTAAAAGAGTGTGCCTAGGAAGTTTCGTCTTCTGAAGGAGGGAAAGAGCCACTTTAGCTCAGCATAATAGTGGGAAACACGGTAACATCTCAGAGTCCCATTGACAAATTTTATTAAGCTATTCATAATTCTTCTTTGTCTGTCTCTAAATTCTGCCAAGAGGCAACTGTTCACCACACAGCCGTTGTCAAGTTGGGGAAGGTTGGGGCAGATACTAGGATTCTAACTGTGGACATGGATAGGAGATAGTGGAAGTGATGTTATAGTTTCCAGATACAAATTGACCATCAGAAGATGCGGACAATACTGAGAATCCAGGAGAGGGTTTGGTCTATGATAATGCCTAGGTTTTTAACAGAGAAGCTATGGTTTTAACTAGCACTCTCCTTTATTACTGTTTAATTTAAATATGGTCTCTACTGACACCTTGGATCAATACAATATATATTTGAAAATGGAGGTTTTTAGTCAATTTTTTATTCTGATTTTACGAAATGAAATAGCCCTAACAAATATTAATATTTTGAATATTTAATGATGAATTGATACTGATCAAGATCTAAATTATTGAATTTATAATGCTCTGGTCCGGGTTTATGATATTAATTTGAATACAACCTTTATATTTTTACATTTCTGTAATGCTTCAACTAATTTTCAGATTAAAAGATGGAACATCAAAGTGGTATAAATTTGATGATGGTGAAGTTACTGAATGTAAAATGGAAGATGACGAAGAAATGAAGTCCCAGTGTTTTGGGGGTGAATACATGGGAGAGGTAAATTTTTTATATCTAGTTAAATTTCGAGAACTTCTTATTCTTTTGATATAATGTTAAGATTTTTATTTTTCATTTGAAAAATATTTATTTTTTCTAGGTATTTGATCATATGATAAAGAGAATGACGTACAGGAGGCAAAAACGTTGGTGGAACGCTTATATGTTATATTACACTCGCCAAGATGATAGTGTAGATCTAGTCAATCATTTAAACCTGCTCTCTCTTAGTAATGACTTTTTAATGCTAAATATTATATATATATATTTGAATAATTTTCACAGTACTTATGCATGAAGCTATTCTTTTATTTTAAAGTTTGTTTGATGTGTTTATGAGGTAAGGGTCTTACTTACATGATATTTATATGTCAACCTGTTTCATTAGTAAACTTTTTTAACCTAAAAGAGATTTTGATTAATTTCTTTAAAAAGTAGCCTCAAACTTTCACTATAAAAACCAATCTAACCTGATACCAATCAGATTTGTCCAAACCTCACTACCTAGCATTATTTCTAAAACAGAAATGGGTGGAAATATTATCTCAAAGTTTTAAACATTATCATAAAAATTATATTTATATGTTAAAAATGCATTAAAAGTTGAAACAAAATCGTGTTCAGGATATTTTATGCCCATTATTACCATGAAATGTCCATTAAACTCCCCACAAAATTTAGTATCTAGAGCGCTGTTACTGATGCTTTCAAGTTAACTAAGTTGTATAGAACTGGAAGCATAGAGCCATAATAACAAATGCCCTTGATGGCAGATTGTATTACAAATAAATCTATCTATGATTTCCGTCTAAAAAAAAAAAAAGAAAATAGATTATACAGAAATACAAAAATTATAATTTTAACTGATTTCACTATTGTATACAACTCACTTAATATCAACCTTCAACAACATATCTCATCATGTTAACAAGTTATATGATTTGGAAAGTCCATTCATTGGTCAACAAATTACAAGTTTAAGATACACTAATTGCAGGCGATGTTTAGATCTTACCGGACATCTCTCAATCAATGTCTTCTTTGCATGTTACGTATATTGATATTGTTGATCTGTTGTTATCTCTTATGTTTTTTATCCTTATAGATTGTACAGTTTTGTTTTATTTCATATTTTAGGTGATAGTAATCCTGGAATCATTAAAATGCCACCAGCCATTGAACGAAGTGTTAGAAGACAAAACATAAGCTTTATGCATACTAGAAACCAGTTTAGTGCTGAATATTTCCAGTTTATGAGAAGATTAGCCACATGTAGTTTACCCTCACCCAATAGGCAGCATAATGCTGATAAAGTGGTTTGTGTAACATAAATTTCTTTATATGTACCTATATATATATATATATATATATATATATATATATATATATTTTAACCTTACACTGCCATTCATGTAAGAGTGCGGATATCTTTAAAAATTCAGTCACTCAGTGAATTACTATAATGTTTGTAATATATGTTATTTTGAACCATTTAATATCTCATTTGGAAATGTTATTATATGGAATGAAAATAATGTCAATTTTATACCTTTTTATTTTTTTAGTGAGCCATAAACTGGAATATAAAAAAGTTTATTGTCAGATCCTTTGCTCTATTTGTTTCATTTACATGTCGTGTTTTGAAACTGAATTTTGGCCAATGGTTACTGCCCATCAAAAATGGTCAGCTATTCTTTCCTTATATTGAGAAAAGCTATTAATTTGTGAAATCATTAAAAAATTAACTGTTAATGCTTCAACATTTGGTTTTGGTTTTGCTCTACGTATTTTCCATACTTCTATGAACAGTAGTGTTAAATTATTTATTAATTTTTCATGTGTCATGATAAGCTTCAATGTTATGAATCCTCTCCAATTTAGATTATAAAACATTAAATATTATTTGGTAAAAAACAAATGTTTTTGAGCTCCCACTTGTTTACTGATTTGCCAAATCGGTTTAAAAGAATCCTCGCAAGGAGCTATGGTTAGTAAAGTTAGGTTACACCCCTCCCCCCAGGTTATCTGTGCTCTCGCCAGCAATGATATCAGTAACAAGACGACATCGCATACCCAAAGATCTTGATTGCCAGTTGAAAAAAAAGAACATACAATTAAATTAATAATTGGTAATTGGTTGACTGTCGTGGATAATGAAGAGAAGAATAGTTGGGGTGCTCAGTCAAAAAAGGAAGGCAAAAAATAAATTAAAATATTTATTTTTTACATATGCCGACGTTTCGACCTGAAGTTCAGGCCTTCATCAGGGCTAAGAAAATAACCAGATAACAAGGTATGAGAAACATAAGTAATAATGGTAAAAAAGATAATAAAAAATGAGAAAATAAAATAAAAAAAAAGCTATCAGCACATCTCTTCTATCAGCTCCACATCTCTTCTCTCTCCCCCTCCCTTGCAACGACTTATATTCTCCCCTTGACACTTAAGGAGAAAGGTAGTACTTCTTTTATTTCTTTCTTATTTCAGCTTTCTCAATTTCTTCCCTCCTTCCTTTCATTCCTTTTCTCTGTTTTTAACTCTTTATTATATTATACATTGTCTGTACATCTTGATAGACTTTACAATAACTCAATTTTCTATCTAACTACTCCATTCTCAATGTTTTAATTTTACTATTTATTTTATTTTCATTTCTTATATAACGTTATATTTCTTTTTTATGTTTTTACATTTTATTCTAAGATTCCCAATGTAACACTTTTGTCACCCCTTTTGATTATGCCTACTTCATCATTCCACACTATGTAACAGTTTTTATTATTTATCTCTTAGTTCTTAGTCATTATTCTAACAATTTCATTTTACTTTATATCTATCTATTTTATTTTTCTAATAATTTATAATAATTTTTTTTTTTTTTTTTCTCATTTTTTATTATCTTTTTTACCATCATTACTTATGTTTCTCATACCTTGTTATCTGGTTATTTTCTTAGCCCTGATGAAATCCTGAACTTCAGGTCGAAATGTTGGCATATGGAAAAAATAAATATTATAATTAAATTAAATTTATTGTTGAACATTTATTAATATTTACAAAATATTTATACTAACAATGATGTCATAGTGATGTGATATTTAAATTGTTGATAGGGACCAGAAGCTGAAGAACTTTCGTTACTTTCGGTTCAGATTGTGAGTAGATTTTTGTTTCACACTGGTTTTCACACAAAAAAGTGCCTTCGAGGTCAAGCTACTGATTGGTATGATGCCCTTTACCATCATCTTCGATCGTTTGCATCTGTTAGGTCATGGTTCACACATAACATACTTTTCAAACATCCTAACAGGTAAATAAAGGATAGATTATGATATAGTACTGACATTTTATTCTATAATCATTGATTTTTTTCCTATTAAATTTTGTAGGTTTTGTGAATATCTACTGAGTTGCCCTAGTACAGAAGTAAGGACAGTTTTTATGAAAATCATTGTTTTTTTAGCCCATTTCTCGCTGCACGATGGGCCTTGTCCACCACCAATGGTCAATGCTCCAAGTCAGTTTACACATTTTATATTGTACTTTTTTAGTATTTAAAGTTCCATAAAAATTAATTATATTAAAGTCTAGAAGGAAATGATCCTGTTGGTAATAAAGAATACACACCAAATAGTAGGAATATTTATTAAACGCTGATTTAACTTACATTGCAGGTCTTTCCCCCCGGGCTAAAAAAAATGTAGTACTATAGTATAATTATAAAAATGACATAATTATCTAACTCAAATAATGGGACAACATAAAAAAGTTTTTTTTTTAAACAACTTAATTGAAATGGTTGTAACTTTGAATTGAGGTGTTCACCGAATAAATAATAAAACATTTGTGAATGGTCTCATTATTCTAGCTGAAGGTGATTTATAAAAATTAATGTAAATATTAATACAGATAAATAATTTGTAAAAATTAAATATGAAAACAATAGTAACTGATCTTATAATTGACAAAAGTAATGAGCGTTATGTACTGATAAAACAATATACTTATGTTTTCAACCAATAACCAATGTCTTGATAAAATAGTAAACTTAGTAGTAGACAAAACAACACCACTGAAAAAACAGTAACAGATAAAGTAATGAATAATAAATTATAAGACCATTAACGGTCATTGCTACAAGATAGAAAAATACATTGTATCAAAGGAGATATTGTAGAAATATAAAACATTTTCTTATACGATAGTAAATAAATATATTAAACTAATTAAAAGGAAATTTAACAGAACTGAAAGAATAACAGATTATTACATGATTAAAAACTGTAAGAAAACGATTAAGTTGATTAAATAAATACGTGGAGAAGATGAAAGTAACATGCTCACCAGAAAAGTATGCATTTTAATGATATATCTATAGCGTACATGTATCATTAAAGTACATTTAGAAAACATTTAGTTTCTGAACATAAAGTTAAACTTGCTCAAGTATTATTCTAACCTGCTTAAATAGTTCCTACTGTTTAATATTATTCTTGACTGCCATTTAGACCATCTCTTTTTAAAAATTAATTTTAGTTTTAACATTATTTTAACTTATTTTATTTCATTCTTATTTATCATTATTAATTCTGGATTTAAGAATCATATAATTGAAGTTATTTAAACGAAACATCAATTTTTTATGAATAAATTAAAGTTTCCCAAAGGTTAATTTCAATTAAGGATTACATTTATTTAAATATAAGTGCTTGTTGGTATAATAACAGTAAAATGGCAGTTTCATTTTGAATTTTAATAAATTATCGAAGTATTTCCTCTACTGATTTTTTTTTTCTCAATTGGTTCTTAAAATAATGATAACTACACCAGTGATATATACTTTCGTTTTCATTAACTTTTGTTTTATTATGTTGTTAGTAGAATTATTTAAATAACTTAATTATTAATGCTGAAATTTATCATTTTTAGTGATTCTGTTCGACCCGAAGGCAACAATGAGTGATCACTTATTGATTGCTGTTCTCTCAATGCTTCAAAAAGAAGTTTCTGAACATGGACGACATTTACTTCATTATTTTTCTCTTTTTCACATGTATGCTTCTCTTGGGCTAGAAGAGAAGAAACAATTGTTACAGGTGAGAAAAAAAAAAATATTATTTGTTAATAATAATTCATATAAACAGAATTTTATTCTCTTTTCCATATTAACCGAATATTCATTTAAGAATTCTTTATATTATGAGAAGGAGTTGGTCGGGAGGTGTGGTCAAATAAGTACTATATATTAAAATAGTATTTTATTGTTTATCCTGATATTTCGACCAACTTTGTAGGTCTTCATTAGGGCTACAAAAGATATATATCAGATAATAAAGTAGCAGATTCTGTGAAATATTATTTAGGTTTTATATTGATAATTCCTATCCATCTTAAATTGTAATTAATTTCTGTTCCTGATCTCTTATGAATACGTTAATACTGCATTTCAGTATGTTCCTGATGGTTATGAAGTTTTAAATATTAATTTTATCAAACAATTCTAATTATATGTAGTTGTTCAAACAGTTTTATAGTTAAATCAACTGGTGCTGTGCTAGGGATAAAAATTGCTATTACCAGATTTCATTCCCAACAGTGCATGAAACTTAATGTTAATGTCTTTCAAAAATAATCAAAATAATTCTTTTATTATAACTCGAAATAACTCTTTGAACTATAGATCAGTCCAGTCAAATTGTCATATCATAAATTCTTATAAAAATGATGTTAGTTTTTATTTTTCAATATATTGTCTGGGTTTGCATTGTGTTAAAAAAGTGAAGTTTTTCAATTGAAAGACTGATTTTTTTCTTTATTCTATATATATGCCTTTCTTATCCAAATATCTGTTAAAGTATTGGTCTAACAAAAAATATTTATAATTTACTTTCTTTTATTTATTTAAATAATTAATTTTTGAGGCCACTATGAACATTTTAGTTATAATACATATCAAGATGTAGCTCCCAGAATTTTTATAAAGAAATATGAAAAGTTCTAATGCTTTGTCAGTTACTGATTGGTTGGAACTAAATAATGAATGGTGCGACACATTTTGGCATATTTTTAGCATAGGAAAATAATTGAAATTATAGACTCAAGTGGTTTCGCAGGTGTATAGACACTGATGTAAAAAGTTTTGAAAAGATGTTTTTAAAATAAAAAGTTAATAATCTATACAATACATTTTCAGTACATTATGATTATGTGTTTTTATTTGTTTGTATGTCATAACAACATTCATGGGAACCATTGGTATTATTGTGGCCAGAAAAGGGTTAACATTGTTAATAGTGGTTAAATAGTAGACTGTCGTCAATAATGAGGAGAAGAATAGTTTGGGTGATCAGTCAAATAAGAAGGCAAAAATAAATGATAATATTTATTTTGTCATTTGCCGACGTTTCGATCTGAAGTTCAGGCCATCATTAGGGCTAAGAAAAGAACCAGATAACAAGGTATGAGAAACAAAAAAATTACAGTAAAATGCAGTTCTTAGAATAATGGCAATAGTAAGAATAAGAGATAAATAATAGTAACTGGTACAAAGAGTGGAATGATGAAGTAAACATATTCAAAAAGGTGACATAAGTATTTTAAAGGGAATCTTAGAATAAAATGTAAAACAGAAAAATATGAAATTGTATAAGAAATGGAAATAAAGAGTAAAATTAAGATATTGTGAATAGAACAGTTAGATAGAAAATTGAGCTGTTGTAAAGTCTATCAATATGTACAGACAGAGTATGATATAATAAAGAGTTAAAACAGAGAAAAGAAATGAAAGGAAGGAGGAAAGAAACTGAGAAGGTTGAAATAAGAAAGAGAATAAGTAAGAGAAGAAAAAATAACATGACTGCTCTGAGGTAAATAAAGCAATGCTTGTGTTATTGAAGGATGGAGGTGGATAGAAGGGATGTATAATGGCGTCATCTCCAATGGTTATCTGACGAAGTTTGAACTAAAGTACCGGAAGCGTAAATAAGAACGAGAGATATATTATTCATAAATATTAAGGATAATAAAACGAAAGTTGATAGAAAGAGGCAATAAAATAAAATAAATTATAAATAAATAATTTTACCAGTTATTATTATTTATCTCTTGTTCTTACTATTGTCATTATTCTAAGAACTGCATTTTACTGTAATTTTTATGTTTCTCATACCTTGTTATCTGGTTCTTTTCTTAGCCCTGATGATGGCCTGAACTTCAGGTCGAAACATCGGCAAATGACAAAATCAATATTATCATTTATTTTTGCCTTCTTATTTGACTGATCACCCCAACTATTCTTCTCCTGGTTAACATTGTTGTTAAAATCACATTTGCCTGTTATTAAAAATACAAAATATTGATATCATCCAAAATTAGCACGACAAAATAAGAAGAAAGACAAAATGAAGTAGAAACAGATAAAGCACACCAACATAATTGTTGCGAAATATGTGCTTTGTTTAGTTTTACTATAACTCAAAAACTATGCATCTCTCAACATTTTACATGCTTATTTGAGAAATAATATAACTGCCTGCATTCCTAAAACAAGTCCCGATCTTGTCAATGTTGGTGAAAAATTGTTATATTGACTTTCTCAGGAGATACAGGACCCACCTCCAATTTTTTTAATATTACTATTTAAACCATTGTGAAATAATTTGCAGCATTTTGTTGGTACATATGCTATTTATTTTTATACTCATTTTATTATGTCTATGTTACAGTTAAATGTTCCTGCCACATTTATGCAGGTTGCCTTAGATGAAGGTCCTGGTCCTGCAATAAAATATCAGTATCCTGAACTCACAAAACTTCATTGTGTAGTATCCCAACTGGTTAGGTGTTGTGATATAACTTCTAAAACGCAATCATCTCAAACGGTCAGTATTCCAAATTAATTATTAATTTTTATTGATATTTAATCAGTACATAACATTAGATTGAAAATACTCTACTTTTTTAAATTTTATTAGATATCTTAATTTTTAATTTATGAAAACCTAATCTGTTTATAATAGTTTTGTTATAATAATTAGTAATTTCCTGAAAACCCCATATCGCCATCATCTACTCCCACAACCTATCTGCAAGCTCCTTCTATCCTCTCTTATTTTCCTCCACTTTTGACTACGCCTATTAGTGTACGGTGGCATCCTGATTATACTCGGGAACAGATTGAAGTGACTCATGAACTGCTTAAGATGTATCTTCTGTACTTCAAGGTGGTCTCATGTTTCCCACCTTTGTACTTTAGTGATGTCAGTTACACTATACCGATATCTTGCAGATATCCATGTATGTGTCATATTGCTTATTTGTACAAATACGTGAACCCACCCGTATGTAATCATCTTTAAATTCATGTCTACTTCAAGATCATATGTTTACTACAGTGTCTTTATTTTTAATATTATGAAAAATTTACATGCTTCTTTATTTTAACATTAAGATTAGACAACTTTGTAAATTAATTTATTTTTTAATTGTCATTTAATTATTCACAATCGCCAGGCAATTGTCATTTCTCTGTTCATTATAGTTATTCTCAGGGGACTAAATGCCCCAGAATAAAATTTACTTTCTTTCATTCTTACTATAAGTTAAAGTGGCTCTTCGCTTCATTCCACCAACATTATTTCCTTGGATCTTTCCTATTCCAAACAATAAACTCCTGGCATCCTTTCTACATCTACAATCCCCAACAGTTCAAAGCCGCAGTACACTCCCAAAAAACAAGATCCTGAGTTTTTGACATTTATATCCCTTCCCATATAACTAAAGTATTCGAACATTCCTTTCTTGCCTCTCCTCTACCATCTGGGATTCTCTGCCATCTGATTTCCGCCATGCCTCTTCCTTGTCCTCATTCAAATACCTTCTTTATCATTTTCTTCTCACATCTCAAATGGATACTCCACAATAATGAAATAAATTTTATGAATCGAATTTTGATTAAAGTGTATTCGTTGATTGTATTTGACGTTTTTAAAATAAAAACAATCTGAATAACCAGTCTTATTAAGTAATTTATTTACTCACTTAATGTATATATTAAGTAATTTATATATTGTTAGAATTTTTATTAATTTAGTACTTATTAAGTGAGTCTACTGTTTATGTTTTAACATCAAAAATCAATACTTTTTCTTTTCTTACTTTTGTATTTTTTTCAATACAACTTTAATTATTCCTGAGAAGATTTTATTTTAATTTTTAGTTGTCTACATATAATTATTTAGGACAGGATAGCGAAGTTTTATTTTTTTATTGGATTGCCATTGTTATTTCTGACATACATGGTGGTTGTTATAGAGGTACAACCAAATGTTTTTAAAATAAAAAGTTAATAATCTATACAATACATTTTCAGTACATTATGATTATGTGTTTTTATTTGTTTGTATGTCATAACAACATTCATGGGAACCATTGGTATTATTGTGGCCAGAAAAGGGTTAACTTTGTTAATAGTGGTTAACCTATTCCAACCAGAGTGAGAAGGTTGAGAATCGAACCAGCATCGCTAGACACGAGAATGCTATAATGGGAAATGCTCTAACATGCTTAGCCATCATGACCTTGTGATGAAGTTTGTTAAGGAAAGTGTGCCAGAGTGTTTAGTTTGAAGTGTTCTGGGTTTGATTCCTATCTATCCCAGTTAATATTTATTTTTTATAAACCCCAAAAATGAATCTTACCATTCCTAGGGTGGCAACCAATGATAGCGGTAATATTTAAAATAAAAAACCAATAGGTCCACTTATGCTTGATTTTGTGTGCCCATATATTGTACTTTTATTAACTGAACTGTTGGCTGGAACAATGCTGGATCGAAATTTTCTAGATAGGTACTTTTTTTTTTAGCTTCAAATCTCTATCCGCACCTGTCATGACAGTGATAATTAGCAGATTTATTGTTATGGTACAAAATGTCATGATAGGAATGATGAAGAATAGTACTCAGCAGCACCTCTTCCCTAGTCTGTTCACATTCTTAATTCAGAAAAGGAAATTTCTCATCCAGCTTCTTTTCAGTTGCCTCCTGATGAGCATGTCAGCCGTGTTCATGTCGTTGATAAATCCTTTGTGATATCCGTGTAGTTTAAGATGAAATCGGGAGTAGAGAGTACTTATGTGTTAGTCAATAGTTGATTATCTGATGTCGGTATGCAAACTTTTGTTGTTCATTTACCAGAGGGCTGCAGTTATTAGTCTTCTAAAATTTTAGATTGAAAATATTGTAGTTTTTGTAAGTGAGTCTTTTTTGCTGAACCGTAAATCTGTGAGGCATATGTCCAAATGGGTTTGAGCAGGTATAAGTGTATGTATTTAGTTTTTGTCTGATTTTCAATTTTGATTTGGAAAAAAAGTGAATATAGTATTTTCAGTCGCTTGTTCAAAGTCTTTCATTTCATTTTTACATGTAGGCCCCAGGTCATCCTTCTGTCGAATAATAGTCCGAGATAACGTAAAGTGTCCGTCTGAGGAATTTGGTTGTCGCTGATATAAACCGATGGGCATGTGTCTAGTCGAAGTGTAAATGTTATGTGTTCTGATTTGTCGGTACTAATTAGATCTTCAGAAAAACTCCAATGTTCTTGCATTGTTATAAATGTTTTCCATTCATATTTCAAACTTAACCTTATCATGTCATATCCAACATTAATCTGTAACCTTAAACTTGAAAAATTGTTTTTTAAACCAATTACTATTGGTATTGGCGCCAGCGAAATAGGTTCCTTTCTATTCCACTAAAGCAGTGGTCAACCACGAGCAGTCACGGTCGTGGACTGCGTCAGGGAAATAGTACCTTTAACTCTTCCCATACATTGAATATTCCACCAAGAAATGGAATTGTGAAAAAAGTCCCACCCAGCATTACTTCAGCCTCTACTATGAATAGTTATACCATTTGACAATTTTTTGTTCTATGTTTTAGGGACAACTATCTTTACCGAACCCTTATGGAGAAACTAATCCAGGAGAATGCCTGATGCCAATTCAGCCACAGGCAGAAGAAATCTTATTTGGACGATCCAGGTAAAAATTAATAATTTAATGTATTTTTACAATAAATGTTATTATGCTTCATTTGCTTCCCAAAATTAAACTAGGTAGGCATTTATCTGTGGAAAAGATTATGAAATACTTACTGGCTAAGTATTCATATTAATATTTAGACTGCAACAAATTACAAGTTCAGAAGCAAGCAAAAGTTATGCATTATCCTTATTATATGATGAAATTATGTTTTAAGATTTCCACCATTATATGATCCTGACTGTGTCTAGGACTTACCACACTGTTACTTCAAATTATTAGAAAAATGTTAACTTTTTTTGGTTACTTAAAAATAGCAATCTCAATCATATATTCTTTATTTGTTGAATCCCATTGCTACTTAAATGTATATAATTTTTTTTCCATGCTAGCACCCCATTAAAAAATGCTTATTTATTTTATTAGAAATATGTGTTTAATTTTAGTTACGTGAAAAAAATTATTGAAGATTGTCAAGTAACAGAAGAAGGTGGTAAAATTTTGCAATACTGCTGCTGGGAAAATCCTCACTTTTCAAGGACTGTTTTGAGTGAGCTTTTATGGCAAATAGCTTTTGCCTATTGCCATGAGCTGAGGCATCATATTGATCTATTACTCGGTGTTATAATGATGGAAGATTCCTGGCAGACACATAGACTTCATAATGCATTAAAAGGTAATCACACAGCTTTATTAAAATTTGTTTTTTAATTTTATATTGTAAGGTAGCTGGCTGTGGATTTTAATATAGAAGAAACAGGTTTCGACTGAGGGTCATAACACAATATATATCTATCTATGTTGTTTATTAACATACTTGTATTTATATATTGACTGTTTCACTTATTGTCTCTATTTATAGTTATAGCACTGATAAAGACCTACAATGTAGTTATCATTAAATGAGGTACAGATATACACACATGTAATACATTGTGGACTCTTTCCCATACCCCATGACCATCATGTTGGTTATTGTTAGCTATGTACCTCACTCTATCATCTCATTTAGTAAATTTAAAGAACATTGTGTGTAAAAATTTGATAATAATACAATGTACATTTTATTAAAATTATATAAATAGTTAGTATTTAGTAATGTGTACAATATTCCAGTGTTATGTTAATTTATAAATAGTAAAAATCAAACTGTATGTAATACTGTAATACATCTATACTTCAGTGAGTAGATGTATTAATATTAATAAATAACCATTGAATCTTCAAGTTCTTGTGATACACCTTACAGAGAAAACATAAAATGAAGTGATTGTTATGATGCAATTACAAGTTGACATAATAATTATATACATCTTAATCAGCTAAATTTTTATGAATTTAGAGAACCTCGAATAGGGAAATCCTTTTTTACATATTACATAAATTTAATCATTAAATCATTAATAATTAAATCAATACCCACTGTGTTAAAATGGCTTGTTATAATTACAAATTGCAATTATTATTGACTTCTTAACTGTTTTCGTAGGAGTTCCTGAAGAGAGGGAAGGACTCTTTGATACCATTCATCGCTCCAAAAACCATTATCAGAAACGTGCTTATCAGTGCATTAAACTATTAGTTAATTTATTTTCCCAGTGTCATACTGCCTTACAACTCCTTCATACGAATGAAGAATTTAAGAGAAAATGGACTTTGTCGATAGAATGGTTACAAGATGAACTTGAAAGGGTATGTTACCGTTTCAGTATGCTAGAATTTAATACCTTATTAAAGTTAATTTTTTTGTTATATATTTATTTGATTGCCCTGATAAAAACTATGTAGCTAAAGTTTTATTTAACTAATAACTAAATGAATTAAGAAATGTTATCATTTAGTTCTAATCTTGTACATTTATATTATAATTTTAAGAATTATAAATATCATCATTTGATTGATTTTATAAATAAAAGTACAAAATGTTGATATTTTTTAGTAAAATTTTTGTTTATTCCATAGCGGCCGTACGGAACTACTAATGCCCAGTACAGTTTCAACAATTGGTCGCCTCCAGCTCAGTCTAATGAATCATCTAATGGATTTTACTTAGAGCGATCCAACAGTGCCAGAAAAACCTTGGAGAGAGCATGTGAACTTTGCCCTGAGGATGTAAGAATAATAACATAAGATTATAAACATAATAGTGCTAAAAATGTATACATATATCTTTAAATTAATTAATTTCTCATTATTTTAAATATCAAAAACTTTAGATTAGTCTATGTATTCATACTTTTTTCTTGGAAGGAAGTACAAACATACTTATCTTAATCATTCTTAGAGGTTTTCGAGCAGAATGAAGTATATTTTGAAAAAAAAAAAAAAAAGATGGGAGTTGGGTGGCGGTTGAAATGCCTGAATATTTAGTTCCTCACCGAATTTAATTTAATAACAATCAAGAGGAAAACCCTGCAGCATCTTGTATCTGCTTTTAAAGTACTTTTTCATATCAGTAATAATTATATTATAAGAATTTGCATTCCTGATTTCCTTGACTATTTTAAAATATAGCCTAATAACCACAATCTATAAATATTTACCTGTATGATGATAAAGCTAAATTGAAAATTATTATAGAAGCCTTATAAGCTAAACATCGCGTTTTTAAGAGTTTTAATGAGAGAATAACCTCATTAACCGCCCCATACCCATTTCTTAGCTGGCTTACATAGCTGTTTTCTAGAAATTTCCTAAAGAATAGTTGTATGATTTTTTTATACCACCTGCATACATCTTCATTCTTTTAGCCTAATTGATGTGTGTTCTCTGCTCTCGGAGAAGCTAATTGTCGATTTTGGTTCAGTTAAATTAAGAATTGATATTTGAAAGGGCTTCCTGTTAATCATCATGTCTTGTTTTTGTTAATATTTTATATCTTTCCTTCCAAAATAGAAGTACTTTAAAGACTTCCTTAACATTCCGAAAACATTTATTACCAAAAATTACAATAAATATAAAGAATGGTTGGCTGTCAAAATTACACTAATAGACATTTGCTTATATATACTTATCATAAAATAATACTTCATAGAGGTTCTTCAGTTTTTCTAGAACAATACGATATTTTGAAACATGGACTAGCTAATTGAAAAAAAATTATAAAGGCTTTATTAATGAGTTAAATGTTCTGTTTTATGAAATTATTAAAAATCCTTACTCATTTTTTCCTGAGCATGTTTATCTGGAATATTAATAGGATTGGTTCTACTCTTAAATCAAATGTTCAAAATCTACTTTCTTACCTGAGGATTGATCATTGATGTAACCAAACATTTTTTGGCCCTCTTTGTTTTATATCTTTACTAGTCAAATATAAGTTATAATACTATTCATGTTAACATGCCCATCCCTCCCTCCATCAGGTCGATGGGACAAGAACCTACTTCCTCTTTCTCCCAAGATATTTTGTTGCCCACCTTTTCATAAAAACAGAGCACAGGAAAGTAGAATTAGAAAAATCATAGATCATACACAATTAAACTTGCTGCGGTCTGTTCCACGTTTTCTCCTTTCTCATTATTCTGAAACTTTTCATTCCGAAAATTCATAACCCTGTTGAAATTTGTCTCCCTTAAAAAGTTTGATAGCGCAACTTGTGCCATAAAACCCCCTTCTGGGCACCTCTGTATGTTAACCTTAAATTAAATCTATTCTTTACTACTCATTACTTTAATGTACTCATTAATATACTAATTGAAGATTAGAACTGTGTTTGCCATATATTTAAATTCCTTGTTTTGTGGATAGGAGCCTGACATAGACGATACGTGTGAAGAAAGTGAAAGTTCACAAAGTGAAGATGTCCGCCCTGGGCCTTCACATCCATCTCCTCATTACACTCAGCCTTATCAGACTCTTCGTTCAGGGGAAAGGTATGCATTATTCATAAGGCAGTCATTTATGCTTAACTTATGTTGAAAATCTTTGTTCACTCGAAGGATTGTTTTTATTAATTCTTTTTTAGGCTAGGCGTATAAGACTATTTTTTTAGGAATTGAAATCATGAATTTTTTTTCGACTCGCACCACCTCAGTTCATTAGATGCAAGTTTCTGATTTTCTATTCAAATCCCTCATTTTCTCCAATAAAACAGTGAACTGTGATTTTTTTTTGAGAAAAAAAAAAGTTTTGTGAGATCACTGAACGTGGCACTATCTCTATGCGGTAAATGAAAAAATATTTTGATTGAATGTGACTAAGTTATCTATTAAGTAGCCAATAGTTGCTGAAGGGCCAATTTTACTCAAGAACCATCCTGATCTCCCACAGCTTCATTGCTTTCTTCTTGTGATAAGAGTGTTTGAGATATGTCCAATAATTTAAGGCTGTTTTATGCTTAATTTATAAGAATCCGCTCCAACTTGTATGCAAGTTGTATCCAACTTGTTCTACTTCTTACGCCCTCAGTAACCAATTCTTCATTTATATTTTTTCCAGATCTCTTCTCCCAAATTTATACTTTTTTTGCTTCCTCGTTACCGAAGGTAGGGAAGCATTGTATTCGTGCAAGAGGTTATAAAAATGTTTATGCTCAGAATCAAAAATTTCCACTTGCCTTTAACGTTTCAGACGTTTTAGGTTTTATTCAAAAAGTTAATTTATACTGTATTAATTTATTATTATTATTTATTTATACTAATTTTCAATAAATTTAAATTAAATTTTACTCGGAGTTCGTAAAAAAAAGAAGTCTTATTTGTGATTGTGGTTATTTCTATTGAAGTTCAACCAGCTCATGGTTGACTCGATTTTCCCCTTAAATATCAAAGTTGTGTGAACTTCATAAATAATTTTATATTCCAGCTTAATTAGTTTTGTTCTGACTGAAGAAAAGTATTGGTCTCGTTAACTCCTCACAAAAAAAAGGCTGCATTTTTCCTATGGATCTTTTGGTCCATCCATTTTACTTATCATATCTATTCAGTATATACCACTACTGTTAGTACAAAAGATCGTATGTAAAAATTTTCAACTTTTATTCTATTTGTGCTAAAGGATGGAAATAGCAGAGAGCAATAAAATATTAAATTATTCTAATTAATCATAAAGATAATTTTTTTTTAATCCTGGATCTTCAGATATGCAATCTGCAAATGCGGAACTCTTTCACATTTTATTATTCGCTGGTGAACAATACTCATGGATATCAAAACTGTATATTTTGAGGGATTATTGGATTTCCATAAGCAACTACTCCTAGAGATGTTATTTTCATACAAAATATTTTATACTTTGTAATATAGATTGTTTAGTCAATGAAAACAGTGAGGAAGCTATATTGACTTTACTTAGCAGACTTTTTTTCTATTTATTCATTGCAGTTGAACTTAGCTTTGATTGAACACTTTTTTGAACTTGTTTTCTCATTCAGTTTGTTTCTTATGATAGACTAAGTTGTATACATTGTTACTTAATATTTTCTGACATATTATTTTTTAATTTCATCAAATTTTAGTTAGTCTTCTTGTAAAATGGAAGAATTATGAAATTTCTACACCGAGGATAATGTTTTGAAATCTTGATTGGTATTGCAATCGTGGAAATGTATTCCAATATCATTATGAAACAGGTATAAAACAATCTTGAACTATTCGACTTATCTCATTCACCGTATCAAAAGAATGTGAAGTAGCTGTGGGATGGTATTGAAGAAAATTGGCCCTTCAGCAATTTTTGGCTACTTAATAGATAAACTCATTGCTTTGCCTACATGCTTGGTTCGAAATGTTGGCTAATGATATAAAAAAATACTCTGTGATCCTCTATTACTTTTTTTTTTTTGTTTCAATCCTAAGAAACAGAATTTTCTCACAAATGTACCGTTTCTTACTTTCTTCTTTTGCTCTTTAAGTCGAAGTAATCTTATATATATTGTGATAAAGCTGGAAGTGTTATAAAATAAATAAATAAACTAAAATATGGTAGTATTTTTGTTTTGTGAAAAATAAGATTTATCTGAATATTTATTGTTATAATATAAATTTACCTATATTTTATATTAATATTTTTTACATATTTAGATATATTTTTCTTTCATCCATACCGACCACAGAATAGGTGTAAAAAATAATTGAATCGCTGTTTTTTTTATTATCTGTGCACCTCTTTATTGCCCTTGATTATCAAGATTCCACTGTATTTATGATCTTGAAATAAAAACCTTTAAACAATACTTGAAATAAGACACAGAAAGAAACAGAAGCTTGGCTGTAATAACTGTCGTTGCTACTATTAAACCCTCTCAGTAAAATCTTTACACTTAATTTAATACACTCATTTAACTTTTTAAAAAGTATATTTATAAACTTTTTGTTAGTAATTTGTTATCATTTTTGTGGTTTTAATATTCTTAAGTGAAATTTATTACCTTATTAGTATTTTATTGAATGCTGTATCATATTAGAGATAACTCTATTTCAATTTTTCAAAAAAATACAAAAAGGATAGAGAAATCAATGAGTTGTGTTCAAGTTAAAAATTATTTTTAATATTAGATATTTTCTTGGTTAATTTATTTTTATGGCATGTGCTATTAAACCTAAAATTTAATTTTCATCAGGGATATAAATTTTAATTTTTCCTATATAACTCACCGGATTATTTATCAATTTTAGGGTTCCTGGGGGGCCTCAGACTGTTAGGACTGAAAATGGAAGTGCTTGGAGGAATGAAGAGGAGCAAACACAAACTCCATCAACCACTACACTTCAAAGTTCACAGAGTGGACAGTTCCAACCATAGACTTCTATTCGGAATATAGCAAGTCATATTTTATTTACCGTATCCCACTTTCCTTTCATTTTAGTCTGTTGCATTTGTAAAATAATTTTAACCTCCTCATCCTTAGTGTATATGTACATTACGGAAGCCATTGTACTGTGGAAGAATGTTAAGTTCTACAGTTAGCTGTAGGATTCACCCACAGCCTTATGTATATGCCTGGAGCCCCCTGTGACACGTGTTTTTCGGTGCTTGTATAGATATCACAGGTTGTCTCTTTAAGACACTATGTATAAAAGTGGAAATGTTTTTAAAATGTCACATATGTGTATATTAATGTTGTTTTCTTAATACACGATTTAAGTAAAAATGCATTTTTCTAAATGGCAGCTGCGTGATTTTTAAATGTTGCCTATGTTTATATTATATAACTAAGCGATTTTTAGTTTTTATTTATTGTCTATTTCCTTGTACCAAATTGGTATATTTTGTATACTTATGTGAAGTATGAAGAGTATATAGGACCTGTGATATATATGAATCCAGCTGAGCTTTGGACTATATTACTAAGCCTCATAATTATTAAACAGTCACGTTATAAAATTGTGATTTAACTAAATAGTTCGAGGAACTGATAAGTTTATGTTTAAAAAAAAAAATCTCTGCATAGCAAACGTTATTGTATTTCTGCACTGTTATATAAATTTTGTTAATGTGTATTTTGTTTGCATCTTGTTGACTATTTATTACAATTTGCTTAATATAAGTCAATTTGTATTTTATTTGTGAAGGTTGACTGATTAATGCCAATCAATGTCATACTAGTTTTTTAATTACAGCAAATTTGACATGTACATTTGTTTGCCTACCATGTGAAAAAAAAATAAATGAAGTATATATATGTATACATACAAACATATATATATATTATATATATATTTGAGATTTATAATGTTTAACTGTTTCTAGCCCATCATTACCATTCCTCTTCCTTGATAAAGATTCGCTTATCCTTAAAATAGTTTTTAAGAATCGTTAAAAGGCTCATAAAATACTGTAGATCTGTATAACATGTAAGTAGTGAATTTGTGTAGTATTTTTTATTTGAAAGCTATTTCTTACTTGGAGTATGAAGTGTTTAGTAAACAATTTTAATTTTGTTATAATAAAACTTAGTTTTATGTATTCAAAATTTAAACCTTCACATCATTAATAAAAGTGATTTCAAGTCAAATACTTGATATGTTTATCAGGCGACTGTGCCTGTTATTTTCTTAGTTCCTTTGTAGAATTATTATTGCATTTAAGTTACATATTTTAAATTTCAGTTTGTTATATTGCTCTACTTTTGCATGACCCTACAAGAGTGAGTTCTCATTGGATTGCATATACGAACTTCTGAAAGAGAATTCGAGATTCACCCTCCTTTCTTCAGTTGATTATATTAACACTCTATAAAGTTAAGAGAGACATGTCACTAATTGTTTTGACTGCCGTGTTTTAGAAAGACTACTGTTGCTTTTTAATACACAGCTGGTTTAGTTAAGGGTTATTGGTAATTATAATGCTCAATTGGTATCATATTTTAATAGTAAACAGAGTGATAAATAGACAGCTTCTTTATTACTCCTTTCGTTAAAACTAATGATATAGTTAATCCCTATGTCGTGAAGTTTGGCTATTGTCTAACTAATGATCAAAGTAGTAGATTTGGATACTAATGTATGTATGCTAATGGATCGTAAATTTTTTTTAAATTCTCTATTAATCTTTTTGAAATGATTAAAACATTGCAATAATCTTTTTAAATGTTTGAAAGTGTAATATTGATTTACTAAGTATTTCTAAGACAAGAAAGAGGCAAGTACTGTTGAGAAATCAGAAGCTGAAGATGTTTAAACCCTTTGCTGTCTCTAATTCATGAATTCCCATATCTTTTTCCTAGTGTGTTTTTACATAAGTCTCCAAAGGTTTTTCACCATGAGTACACAAGCATTACAATGAGTAACCTGAAATATTTATCTGTCATAACTTAGCTCTATTTAGATGTTTTTATAAAGACAATCCTGGAAAAACTAGTAGCAAGTACTGTCACTATAGAGAACTAAGCAAAATCAGGCAAAACTTATTTATTGTTTTTCTATTTTCACTAAAGCTTTATTCTGTACACACATTACTTAGCAGATGGGGATAGAAATAGTAACATATTACTATGTTACTACCCATAGGGTTTTCAGTATTTTTATTTAATTCAATCTGGAGTGGTATATAACATATGCCAGTCGGTTTCAATCTCTCCCATGCTTGACATACTGTTTGTATCTATCAGTCCCAGCCTTATACATTTGGCGCCTCTAGCCGATGACACCAGGTACTCAAAAAAATTTAATTTATTTCTTAAATTGTTTCATATTAAGTAATATTTGAATTTTATTTCATTCAGTATGTCTCTAATTCAGTTGCTGTACTAATAGGCTAAAATTAATTATTTTCATAGGCTTTTTAACTTTTTTTTATTCCTAACAATTGGTGGGTGCCTTCAATCCAGGGAAATGCCCAATCTTCAGGCAGGCACTGGTATCAATTAACAACACATCTGCCTTTTGTTGCTGGCTGAGGTGTGGATATAAAAATAAAAGTTTAAAAAAATTTCTTAAATCACATATTTGGGGCAAAATACTAGGTATTTGACATAAGTGAGTATTTCTGGGATAGATATGTAAGATCATATGGCTGGGGAATCATTCTGAACTCTTTGATCCAGTGCTAGAGGAAATACTGTTTTATGCTGAATCTGTTATTTCTGAAAATAAATAACAGAACAGATCCAAAGTTAAGTTAGCTCATACATTTACACAATAACAATTCTGCTATTTCTAAACCAACCCTAAATAAACAACCATACTGAATTTAATTAAAATTCGATCATAAATCAAATTTTTAAAGACAAAAATGTGAAAACAAAAAATTTTTATTTCTTTTTTTTAAGAATTGAACTTAGTAGTGACATAAGGAGGGCACTAAAATAGTGCACAATACATTTTTTATTATTCATGATATTTACAACTGTATGAGAAAAAATACATCTATTAAATTTATACTAATGGATATCATGACATGAAAACACCTAGGAGATCATGGGACCATCTTCTTTTCAGACGTCTCCAGAGTTATCAGAAATTGATGAAGCAAGCTTAGAAACGAGAGGGCTGAGATTGTTCTGAAGTTTGTTATGGAAGGACAGGTATCTGGATTGTGCCAGATCTGAAACATAAGAAATATTAAGGTCATTATGGATGATTTTATTTATAACGAAGTAAGGAGCATTGAAGATTTTATGAAGGATGTTGGATTGCAAGGATTGCGTACGAAAGGAATTCATGGTTTAATGGAGCCCCAAGGCTCGACTCCGTAAGTCTAAATAGGCCTTATTATAGTAATTTACATGAGTCTTTTGTAATTAATTGGAAACTTAAAGCGATTGTCTAGTAAATGCTAAAGTAGTCCGAAACGTCGAGCGATTCCTTTTCGTTTCAGCATCGACGGCACACATTTTTTTTTTAAAACCAAGCGATGGGTTATCGGATTTCAATGTAAATCTATAGGTATCATCTCCATACCATTAAATTTATATATATTTTATTAATATGGTTTGAACATCATAATTTTTACAGCAATTATCGTCAAACAGCGAAAACCGCTTTGGTACTAGTTCGGATGAAATAGTGAAATTTTCCTCACATTCAGTATGCAACTCAGATTTTTAGTTTTTAAGATATTTTAATTCAAATATTCAAAAACTCATTAGCATTTCATTTCTGGCGCTATCTTTTCCACTTTTTGATTTTCTATCTTGGTCTATCGTCAAAATACAAATTTGAATTATATCCCATTACAAAGAGGATGAAATGCCGACATTTCTCTTACTTGCAGTATGTGGCTTAGATTTCTGGTTTTAGAGATAGTTTAATCTAAATGAAAACACATGGAGCATTGCCTTCCACCACCTTCGTTACTTCTTGAGCGTCACGAAACGTTGCATAACGATTGTTCCCTCGCATCACGACACCAATTTACTCCCAAATATATTTTTACTTCCACTTACCTATATATCAAATATATACATAATAAGGGTAAGTATTGTGATCGTGAAAATTTTCAAATTGAAGTTTTCAAAACAGAGGTCGCAGAACACATTAAGCACTTGTCAAAAAAATAAATAATAATAATAAAAAAAAAAGCCCCTGGCCATGATCTGATAAATGCTCTAGCGCTCCAGCAAATGCCAAGAGAGACTCAAGTGTTTCTTACTACTATTTACAATGCGATACTTTGGACTACTAAATTCCCTATACAGTGGAAATATCCATACAACTCTATGTATGATTAACATAGACCACGGGCGGATCTATGGGGGGAGGGGGCTTTCGGGCTGAAGCCCTCCCCCCACAAAATGGAAAAATATAACCATGTTTTATGGGAAAAAAAATTTAAAAAATACCTCTTAAAGTATTATTGTTCGTGTAATTGCATTTAAAAGTACTTAAGGAATAACTTAAACACCATTTCATATAGGTAGTTAGTTTCTTTCTGTTTTTCCAAAGTAATTATCGTTATTTTTATGAAAAAAAATTGTTTCGGGCTGAAGACCCCCCCTTCCCCCCAAAATTAAATCCTGGATCCGCTAGTGACATAGACAAATAAAATCCCCCCTCCTATTGTCCAATCAGCTTACTTTGTATTTGTTCCAAAATATTTGAAAATCGACATACCTGGTGATAACAGTATTTACACTATTATAGGTAGGGATGCCAGCTCAGTGCCGGCCTTGGGGATAGGGCAACTGGAGCAATCGCTGTGGGGCGCCTCCCGAACTTCTGAAGCACTCGCCACTTATTAGAAATAAAAAAAAAATACTGGATGTATTAAAATAGTTAGTTTTTGCATATCAATAAAGAAACTGTATTAGAGAAATGTTGAATGAAATAAAATTCAAATAATGCATGATATAAAACAGCTTAAGATATAAATTTAATTTTCTTAGAGTGGGGAGATGATGTCATTGCCCGAGGGCGCCGAGTGTCTAAGGCCGGCACTGAACAATTGAATATATTTAGATACATAAAATATATTTAAACATTGTATAAACTATGGGAGAAACTAGTTATTTTGCATGTTGTTTTTGATGTTTTCCATCTGCTATCGGTAACATTTTTTTTTTCCCCTCCCTGCCTTGCCTTACAGGCAATAGTGGTTTAGCAGCAGTATGCCACTGCTGGCAGTATAGGTCTATTTAATTAAACTTTTGTTAACATTATTATTTGTGAGGTGTTGACTTGTTTTTGTGCACAAGCCCACACTTTTCTTTTTCTCCATTCTTCCACCTGAAGCCGGTCCTCGAAGTAGCTCCAGCTTGTCTTAACTTCCTTCTCTTCTTCCCAGATTAAAATGTGGAGGGCCTACAGCATTTTCCCACCCATATACGAATTCCCTATACATGCTCTCTGTCAGCGTATATATCCCCGTCTCTCTCAGAAGCTTAGCTCTTAGTGCCTCAAAGGCAGTACATTCGACGACCACATATTCGGCAGTCTCCGGAACGTTGCAGTTGGGACATATCGGATCAATATTCTTCCGATGTTTAACAAGCTTCGCTCGGAAGCCCTCATGTTCCGTGAGGAGTTGAGACACCCAGTAATCCGGGAGGACCCATCTTGCATCTAATCTTGGGGAAGTATTTTCTTAGGGTAGCTCCCTTCGGAGTTGACACCCATCGTCGGTTCCATTGATCAACTGTGTCCTCCCTGATAATTCTTTTCCATCTTCTTGGGTCTTCTTCAATTCTCATCTTTAGATGTTCTGGTAGATCCGCCGAACCTTCTCTTTTCATTTTAAAGAGGTAATAGTCTTCTCGCAGGAGGAGATCGAGAGGTGTCCCCTCTGTCAGTACTTTCACTGCCTCATGAGACATCGTTCTATAGGCTCTAGTAACCCGAAGTAAAGCCAATCTCTGAATCGATGCTACAAAGCCTACTCTTCTGTCGGTGCGAGAAGTTTAGGTTCCAGGCTGGGGACGCAGATCTCAGAATACCCAAAATTACTCCTTTATATATAGCCATTGTAGCTGGGTATCTGAGACCCCAGAAGGCACCTCCGACATGACTGAGCCCATTTAGAGCCACTGTGACTTTAGTTCTCCTATAGTCGGGGTGAGGAGTCACGTTGAACTTTTGACCAATTTTTATGCCAAGGTAGGTGACAACCTCATTTGGACATATCCTTTCTTTTTCTAACTCAACATAATATGATGTGCCCTATTAGTCGTGTCCTCCAGAGAATTGCCTGGGTCTTCGTTGCAGCCATCTCTAACTTCTTCTTCTCGCAGGAAGAGATCGAGAGGTGTCCCCTCTGTCAGTACTTTCACTGCCTCATGAGACATCGTTCTATAGGCTCTAGTAACCCGAAGTAAAGCCAATCTCTGAATCAATGCTACAAAGCCTACTCTTCTGTCGGTACGAGAAGTTTAGGTTCCAGGCTGGGGACGCAGATCTCAGAATACCCAAAATTACTCCTTTATATATAGCCATTGTAGCTGGGTATCTCAGACCCCAGAAGGCACCTCCGACATGACTGAGCCCATTTAGAGCCACTGTGGCTTTAGTTCTCCTATAGTCGGGGTGAGGAGTCACGTTGAACTTTTGACCATTTTTTATGCCAAGGTAGGTGACAACCTCACTTGGACATATCCTTTCTTTTTCGAACTCAATATGATGTGTCCTATTAGTCGTGTCCTCCAGAGAATTGCCGGGGTCTTCGTTGCAGCCATCTTTAACTTCTTCTTCTCGCACCATCTTACTACCAATCGTTCAGCCTCTGCTTTCAGACCGGCTATGCTGTTTGAGGCCACAACGGCAGCCAAATCGTCAATATAGCCAGTGGAAGGGAACCGCTCCTCTTCGAGCTTCTCTGCTATCGGTAACATTGTCCCTCCTTCTAACCGCAATCTGCTCCAATGATAAATGGTCAGATGGCTTGACTGTATTTCTTTTTTACTTTCCTACCTATACTAGGTAAGGAAAGTATTGCGATTGGGTCAAATTTCCGATATGCGGTTTTCGACGGAGCTACACGTTTCAGAGCCCCTTGAGTTCGAAAAACACATTTTTAGCCATTGGTCTGCCTGCCTATGCCAAAATTTTCTCGGGAACTAGAAAACCGATTTTATTGCTTCTTTTTTTTTTGTAGGGTTTTGACTACTGATGCCTGGGACATTAATTGGATGCTCCATGCCCAATAGCTGCTGCTCAATAAATGAAAAACATATTTTTCTATTGACTGCAGCGCGAAAACGGCTCTAACAGTTTTGATGAAACTTTCCTATAATATTTTAATAATTGTCCTTTTAATTTTCGTACATGGACTAAATTCCCGAGACAATTCAGGAAAAAAAGTTATAAAGAAAAGAAAAATGTTTTGAGGCCTTAAGGTACCTGCAAAATTTCAAAATACTGAAACGAAGTCAGAAAATAAGTTAAATTAAGACATAAAAAGTGCTTTTATAGCTTTAATGTTAAGGGGTTTTAAAAAGTGTTACAGCATTTAATGACAAAAACAAAAATTTGGTTGACCTAATCTTGCTAATATGCACTCGATTTTGAACTCATATTTATCATATAATAATAAAAAAAATCATATGTGTTATTACAGCATTCAAATTAATTCTTTCACAACTAGATTAGATAGATTTGTGCTCCAAATCATTTATAATTTTTTGAAAAATGATATAGAGAATTATTTATAAGTAGATAATTTAAAACGTATATTAACAGTAGTTACTACTATTAATAGTAAATATTATGTCTCGGAATAAAACTTAAAATATATAAAATTTAACGGTTGCCATACTTGTTTGAATCACCGCGAAATGAATAACTTGATAACCCACTGTACTACGTTGGTTTGAATATAACTTGGTGGTTAGAATAGTGTGAATCGAATTAACTGAAAAAATGAGTGAAACTGTAAGTTGTGAGATTCAGCTGATTAGATATTTAGTTAAAGTTATATAGTTTTTGTAAGATATATTTTATGTGAAGTTTGAATTATTTAATTTCTTTTAGTTACCGGTGGATTATTGTTTGCCTTTTTTCTCTGACGATTACTATTGTTTATTGACGATTATTGCTTGCTGTAGATTACTGTACTTTTTGGCATGGTTCAAAATTAATAGTGAATGTTATTTGTGTGTTTAAAGTGATTATTCGTTTTAGGATGGACAAAGACTAAGTTTAGGTGATGGGGATCATGATCCGCATTTTGAACCTATTATATCGTTACCTGAAGTTAAAGTGCCCACATTAGAAGAAGAAGAGACTGTTTTGCATAAGGTGTATGTAGACGATTTCTTTGTTTTATCAATCTTTCTCTGATTTGAATGTTTCTACATTAGTTTTTTTGTTTAAGGCGAGCAAAATTATTCAGGCATGACAAGGATAGTAAAGAATGGAAGGAAAGAGGAACAGGAGAAGCCAAGTTGTTATTTAATGAGCAAAATAAAACTGTACGAGTTTTGATGAGAAGAGATAAAACGCTCAAGCTCTGCGCCAATCATTATGGTAATTATCAGATTATTAAGAATTAATCTGGTCAATTCTATATTTTTAAGATGATCTAGTTATTACTGTTATAGTAGTATGATTATACCATGTTTCAAAAAGATTTTTGATTACACTTTACAATTGTGTAGTGGACCCGCCAAGATCACACTGATCACACTTCAACGTAACACCAAAAGTATCCTATATAGACATGCCTTTGAAATAAAGTATTGAATTTGTGATAATTTTTTATACTTAAATGTAAAAATCATCAATTTTGTTTATTTCCTTATTTACAGATTGCTTCGTGCCTTACATGGGTGTATTAACATTTTATAATCAATATAAAACAGTTTATTTCCTTCCATTTCTGTCTCTTCAAGCTATTTTATTATTAGTTCCTTAACAGTAACATTATTGTTAAGGAATATTAATACAACGAATATTGGTTAAGTAAATTAATAAATACAACATTATATGCTTTAAAATCACTTAATGCTGAGAGTAAAAATCAAGATGCATTCAATGTGGTTGAAAGTTAATTATCAGCACTGGTATTTAAAAACGTTCCGATACTTTTTCTACTTGGGTCATCCCTACAATTATTGTTATGTGTTGTGTAGTTAAAATAAAATAGTAATTTATTTGTTATCAATTCTGGAGAAATTACCATATCTGTATTAAATACTTGAAATCTCATTATTTATTTGGAGCATGGTTCACTATCACTTCGTCCATTCTTGTTCATGAATAGTCTAATGTTGCGGAATGCCATGACGTCAGCTCTTGTCACAACTACCTATTTCCCTTTGACTTATTTTTGAAAAATCAGCATATTCCCATCTTAGAACTCCCATCATAGAAACTTATTTATTATATGTTATTGATATAAATATTTAATCGAATAATGCCCATCCCCAACAGGACGGTTATTATCTATTACTATTTATTTTCCCCAGCTCTATAATATAGCTGTAAGTGTGATTAAATTTATGTTATTTAAACTACATGTTCAACATGAGTTAGTTCACGCTTTATTACTGTACATGATTTAAGGATATACAAGTGCTTTAATGGCGGGAAAGTTATTAATAACTAACTCAAGAGATCGGTTGTCTTCGTACTCTTTCAGATAATTCTGGGTACTTTATGTCTAGGGGGCTGCTACTGACTGCTATCTGCCAATGTTTATAACCTGAACACTGATAACTCCCATAACACAGTGATAAGCCTTCTACTTCACATCTTCGTATTATTGTATTAAATTCGTATTATTGAAAGTGTTAACAGATACAAAAACAAATGCAATAACAACAAAAATACTTTTATTTGACGACACATATATTAATAAAATAATAAAAAAACACTTTAAGAAGATATGTACATATAAAACATCAAAATGAAATAATAAAAAAAACACATTTAAAAGACCATATTTACACAGAAAAGAAAAAATATAAAACAAAATCTGTTTTATAAAAAGATAAAACATTCATCTGTTTCTCGGCAAACTCCACCAAACATCCACTGCTGAGGTAAAACTCTCCCCACATGATTTTTTCGTTTAGAAAAAAGACTTTTGTCTGCTTCAACCACTTTGCCAGGTCCTCAAATTTTTTTTCTTGGCCTGTATTACATGTCATAAGCACAAACCTCTCTTAGACATTTTTTCCACGTTACCATAGCTCCTAGGATAGTTTCAGCTGCTCTTTGCCCCATTTCATCGTTATCAAGCTATGAGAACACACATAAATCAATTTTAAAGCTGTTGAAAACGAAATCCTCGAGCCCTCCAACCATGTTCCTTTCCTTATTGAAAGTTTTGTGTCATAAGTCCTACGAAAGCATCTCCATTTGGCCTTCCCGGTTTACTTCATTCGATGACCTTGTTCACACAATTTTACGTCGACAAGTATCCCAACATTTTGAAAATATTGAATTGCCTGTTCTTCTGAAGGCGGCAAATCCCATATTCTAAAAAGATCCATAATATGACGAAAATAAACGGGAAAAAAATGAAAAATAAACACAAATGGGCCAAAAGTAAAGAATTTAATAAGTGAACGTAATAAGGGAATAACTGAAAACTAAACAATGCAATAACTCAAAGGTTTGGTGGGATAAGAGGGAGGTTATATGAGGTGACGTTAGATAAGATAGATAAGAAGTGAGGTTTCAATCCGGCCCGCTAGACACAAAGTACCTAATTCTGATTGCATATGGCATTTCATGAACAAGTGTGACTGAAGTGATTGTGAACCACTCCTAATCCTTTCTTGTGGGTACTTCTTAAATAGCCGGGCGAAATGAATCTGAACTGATTATAGACATCTCACAAGATTAATTTAAAAGATTTGAAGATTAAGAAATTCTAAAAATGGCAACATCCGGAGAGCCTTTTGAGTGGAGCTTCGATTTTTAGATAGACAGGTACTTTTTTCATAAAATCCCTTTAAAATTTTATTTTATTGTTTTAATTGCATTATTTTTATTTATTAAAACAGTTACGGCAGATATGATACTGAAACCTAATTGTGGCAGTGATCGTGCATGGGTTTGGAGTACACAGGCTGATGCTGCTGATGGTTGTCCGAAATCAGAGATTCTGGCAATGAGATTTATGAATGCTGATGGTAATTTTTTTATTTTTATTGTTCAATAGAATGTTGATCTCCAGCCATTAAGTGGAGGAGAAAACTAAAGAATGAAAATAAATAACTAAACATATATGGCTATTTGGTCATCATCATATCATATATATGGTTATAACACACATATGTATGGGCCTTTTAGTTGACAGAATGACTAACTCCAATTTCAACATTCTTCATTATTAATTTTAGTGATGTTTCTAGTGGCAAAATTTATACCTTTATCTACAGTTCTATATTTCAACACTGCAATCACCTACTCTGGAATCAACTTACTATCTGTATAATATAACTTTTCCAACTAGAAATATTACTAAAATGACATTATTCAAAAAATGTTGAAATTGGAGTTAGTCATTCTGTCAACTGAAAGGCTCAGAGACTGAAGTTGTGTGATTTTTTAAAAGCAGATGGAATAATTAGATTTTTATTGCCTACCATCGATATAATAAATAGTCTTTTTGTAATTTTAATGGTCTTAATGTTTTGTTATCTGTAAGCTTTAAGCTTTAGCTCCGTTTAAAATGAATTTCAAAAATTTCATAATAGCCCAACATTGCCAGAAAATAATGTCTATTCAAAGTAGAGCGGTAAGTGAAAGTTGTATGTTGTGAGCACCCTACATTTTTCTATTGGTATGTAAATTCGCGTTTGAGGGTTTTTCGAGGTCCAAAATACATATCTCAACTCTGTTTCTCTTTTAAAAAAACATTTGATTTTCTTCAAGTTAGTAAATAAAATTATGCTTTTCGAGTTATTCACATTTAAAATTTCTTTTCCATCATAGGTTTTTCCCTGAAATTTCTGGATGTTGTGACTACTAATTCCTTTCATTTGGCTGGAAAAGGGATCTACACTGTGTTAAAGATTACCGTATTATATATCAAGATAGATGATACGTGTTTTGCTTGCTCTAATATTATATTTATTATTTACTTGTGCAAGAAGTGGTAGCAACATCTCCCCCTCTTCGTTTTCTTCTCTTTTTGGATTAAAATTTAAAAATATTTTTTTAATTTTTAAATATCTAAGTTTTGTTTTCTAAATTATTCTGAAAAGTAATACTTTTTTAGCTGCCAAAAAGTGGAAGGAAAAATTTGAAGAAGCAAAATCACTTGTTCAGAATAAAACAGTTGAAGATGAAAAAAAGGATGATTCTGGTGAGAAAAATGATGAAGGTATTTTATTTATAATCTTTGGTGTTATTATTTGTAATTAATTTAAGTGATAGTATTTTGTTTTAAATGAAGTTTGACTTGTATTTTTGTTAATTTGTCAAAAGTATTTACTTATTCTCTTATTAATGGAGTTACTTAGAAATTCGATGAAGTATAAATTACGAAACTTATTATTGAAAAATTGTGTAACACTCTAGAGGTTATGATGGGCATATATGCATCCCATAATCTAGACAAGCCCTTGCTTTCAGTTATTTCTCCATTAGTGTTAAATCTTAGTTTGGTTATGGTTCTGTCAAGTCCTTGCCTATTTCCAGTGCTATGAGCCATTACATATTCATTTTATTTCACTTCATTAAAGTCTGAGTTCTAGAGAATGTGAAAAAAAATGTCAAATTAATGGGGGAAAAACACTAGAATAAATTTTGTTACCTTTATTGCACAACCAAGAATGAAAGGGGCACTACTCATAAAATTCCATTCTTAGTTTGTACAATTTTATCATTCCTGAGAGGGAATTTTAGCACTGAGCACCAACCTTATACCCGGGAAAGTGTTATTCTATTTTATTCAAATTTTGCTGGGTAGGCATGTTAATTAAAAAATAAAATAAAACACTGAAAAGGACGGTTAAATAATCAAATTAAGAAAGAAATATATATGAATTCGCTGGGGGCTACTGTTCACAGAACTCGATGTTATTTCTAGGATCTGTAAATCTAAATTTACCAAGAAATAGATCATAAAAAAAAATCAAGAAATAGAAGGAAAATATAGAACAAAAGAATCCGATACTACGTTATCAGATATTCAATAATGTCGAGGATCCTTTTTCATTTACTTCTGAATGTAAACAATGAGAATTGTCCACTTTATGTATTATTTTTTACTGTACTGTATTAGCTCAAATCAAATTAATCACAGTATGTAAACAGCCAATCTTTCTGGGAATCAAGGTAGTAAATAGGAAAATAAATGGGAAAAAAAAATGATAAAAGAAATTTTGTCTTGTTAACAAAAAGTTGGAAGTACTTATGAATGAGTAGAGAAGACAAAAGAGTGGGAGATAGGCGTAAAAATGTTTTGCCAATGCGCACCTCTCTTCCCCCATCTACCGACCCTCAAACTTATCTTAGATAGAGTCTACTGCCTATATTGGTGTGAGAGTGTAGGAAATACACCAATCGATAGGTTAATTTTGTATTTGTACTAAGAAAATTACAATACTTTTCTTTATTATTATTTAATTGAAAGATGACCTCTTTATTTTTTTCTCCTGATTTTATGGTTAGATATGTTTTTAAAAAATTAAAAAACTTTCTGAACAGATGCAATAGTTGTTTAAGAAAGTGTAAACAGCATTTTTTGAGTAGTGCCTTTTCGTTCTGGCTCTGTGATATTTTTCTGTTCTGTTAAATTAGTATTTATTAGTTCCTTTTCATTAATTTTCCTGTTGTAGGAATCATTCTATTTTATATTTCAGTATCAACATCTCCCTCAATTAGTGATGATGAAGATGACGACGAAGATTCTGAAGTCATAGATAAAGTCCAAAGCCTAACTATCAAAGATGTTGATAATGACAGCAAGAAGGAAGAGGATGTGTTAGTAAAGAATGATAGTAATAATCATGAAGAAAATAATAAAACTGAGGAAGAAGTTAAACAATAGCAGCAACAATGTTTTAATGCTTAAGTGTTTTTTTTTTATTATTAGAAAAAAAGGAAAGTAAATGAGCAAAATACTAGTAATTTTTGGAATATTTATATTTTAGGTAAATTTTATAGCTATTTTTATACCTATGATGTACTTATTTATCTACAGAGTAAGATTCTGTAATGTGCCAATAACTATAAAATGTAGCCTAAAATGTTTTTAATGGCATGTTTGTTTGAGTTGAGAATATGTCTGTCTTATATATTGTCATTTGTGTTATTTTTATAAAGGCAAATAATAAATTAAAAAATAATTTAATACAATTTTTGTATTTGAAAATTCGATTAGTTCCTTTAATGTTTGACTTATAACTTCTAGTTATTTTGAAAATAAATTGGGTTTTAGCCTTATTAATTTATTGTTTTATTCCTCATTCCTTCCAACTTTCATGTTTCTCTTTTTTTGTTTTAAATAGATTTCATGTTATTTTTATCAAACATTTAGATGTTACAGAATGTTGAATGTTTACCTTTAGAACATAATGATTTTCAAAGAATATTTGATTTATGTTAATAAGATAGGGACCTCTTTAAATAGAAGAAAAATAATATATATGTATATATATTATTTTTCTACATTCAACCAATGCATGTATGAAAAGTTTTGCTGGCCACTGTACATTTTTTTCAGACGAGAACGTTTTTATAATATATATATATGTATATATATATTATAAAAACGTTCTCGTCTGAAAAAATGTACAGTGGCCAGCAAAACTTTTCATACATGCATTGGTTGAATGTAAAAAAATAATTAATAAAAACAATCCTTTATTACAACATATTGTTTTCATTTATATGTCTTAATATAACTTAAGTACCACTTTTATCAAAAGTAATTCCTGAATTATAAATGTATATATTTTAAATGAAATTTGAAGTATATAAATCTCAATGCAGCAAAAGTATTCATACAGATTTATCCGTACATATATTATTACAGTAAGGCTCGAAATCGGTTGTACCAAATATAAGCTCCTGTCATGCTCAAATACCACGAATGGGGTACCGTTGGATTCAGAATTTCACGGGGGGTTAGTGAATCGTATTCTCCACTTTTGTTTTTCTTTCTAAAATAAATAAAGTCGTTACAAACATTTTGCTAGGCTTCGATACTGGAACGGTGGTAGGTCTGTAGATCGATACGGGACAAATTGGATCTTAAAGATTTTGATGCGTACAGCAAGACCCGAATAGTTCCTTCAGAACTATCGGATCCTGCGTTTTTAAGCCGAAAAACGTGCTATTTTCGAGATAACGCAAGGCATAAGGTTCGCATCCACACAACCTTACATTAATTGTAGTACTGTCATTGAATACATGTCTCATTTCGTCGACTTGAGGTCTCTATGATCGAGAGAGGGGGAGTTTATATTATTCATCGATGGTGTTTTTGATGGGCAAGCCATATCATCGTTAATTTTTCACCAAATCTCAAGATTGAGCCACCAATTTCGAAGGCTTCCTTCTCCTTCAGGCTGGCAAAATAGTCCAATCATCCAGAAAATTCAGGCAAACAAGTTATGATAGAAAATAAACTTTATTTGCGAATAACTGAAAAATTACACACTTTTCCCTCGGTTATTTCCATCATTATATAAAACATTACTAAATTCCCTACAAAAGGGAAAAAAAATCATCGCAATCGGACAATTTTTAGCAAATATACAGCTTACTGAAATTTGTATACATGTTTTTTCCAAACCAAACTGAAGATTTAAATTAATTTTTATTTCCTTTGTGGATTATATTTATCGTTAAAGTAACATTTGATGTCTTAATCTTTTGATAAGTTGCATTTTCTTAATTATTAGGCATTTGATAACAATATGCTGTGCGAATTTTTCGCACGGGCCTACTAGTATTATATAATAATTTATGTATTTATTTTAATGAAAAGTTTTAAATTAATATCTAGAATGAGTTCCTTTATATTTTAGTTCCATTTAAGTCATTTGGGCATTTAATAGGGTTCAACTTTGACATCAAATTTAGGGGAGGGTATTTTCATCCATTCTTCCAACAATTTGGTTTCACTGGTGCTATATTTTCATTTATGAACTGTGGATCGGCATGGATCCATAAATGTTCGATAGGATTTAAATCTGGCCTCTAGAGAGGACTTTCAAGTTCATTTGGATAATTATTATATAGCAACCATTCCCGTGTGTCGACAACTTGTGGCTTAGATCTGTTATCCAGTTAAAATTTGGATTTTGTTCTATACTCACTTTTGTCATTAAATTTAAATTTCATTCCCTTTATTTATACTCTGGTTACTCAGTCGTTAAATAAAAAGTTCTATCTTAACAGTTCCTATGATACTTTTTTTTATATTAAAGTTCTAGATTTTCAGTTTCAGAAGTTCAACTTTTATTTATTCAAGTTCTTAAAAAAGTTCTGTTAAATGACAAACAATAATTGGGCTTAGATTGGAGTTAAAATTTGCCTTAAATGATTCTAATGTGTTGTTTGTTTGATAAAAAACCATTTTTTAGTGAAATTGACACAACTTTTAAATAAAAGTTCTGTAAAACCTTTACTGGAAAATTCGCAAGGATAAAAGTTTTAATTCCAAAAGAACTTAAAAACTATCAACAACAAAAGTTCCAGTGGCACCGAAACTTTTAAATAATAAAAGTTGATTTTTCATTTCAATCCCTGTTTAAAATTTTATTTAAGTATATATATATATATTTATTGTTAGTCAAATATTTTTGATAAAAGTGGTATTGAAGTTATACTTAGGCATGTTAATCAAATATATATGAAGTAAAGAATTGTTTTATTATTTCCAACCAATGCATGTATGAAACATTTTGCTGGCTGCTGTATTTTTAGCAGTAACATTGTTACTAAATTTAGAAAAAAAAAAAAAAAAATGAAACCAGATCACTCTTGCGGAACCCCTTTAGGAAAGTTGCTATTATTGAAACCGTAAATAGTGAAGAAATTAATTTATTTTAAAATACATTTCTAGAAATGAATTTGTAACTCAATATTTTATCTTCACTACATTCATTTACTATTTGGTAGCATGATTTCATTTTTTAGGGCATATCATGTATATTTCAATGTTTTTTACTGTGTGTAAATCCTGGCATTAGTTACAGGACTCAATTCAACTCCTAATCAAAGATGTAACTTTTTTTAATGCTTCTTATCATGTCATCAAATAAATTGATTATATTACATTATAAGTTGGAATAGGATGTTGATTTTTCGATCCAAAGTATTGATTTAAATCCATCAATGTATGGATTATATAATTTTCTTTATATTTTAAAGTAAATACGTTAAGTATTTTATATTATATCCATTCTGTTTCTGAAAATGAAATATTCTTCATATTATATTATGTATTTTGACATGAGATGGTTCAAGTCATTTACTCCATCAATGGAAATTAATCAGCAATCCAAAGTTACAGTAATTATTTAGATGAGGACTGCAATGGTTACGCATGGTTCACAATCAGTTTGGTCACACTTTCTCATGGAGTGCCGAATACATCCAGGTTTATTCGAAAGATTGTTTTCGTCATTTCATTACAAGTTTGGCCAAAGTGATTGGGAACATCTAAATAATTTCCAAAATGAAAACCATTTCATTAGATGTTAACAAAAACAAATTAAAAATAAAGTATCATTTTTCAAGCCGAAAGTTAATATAATTCTTAGCTTCTACACACAATTCTTTGAATGTAAATATGTATTAAAACTAAGATTTTTAGAAAATAGTTCAAAGCCTGAAAAGAGCTTATCATATATTTTCTTTGTTCCCTTTTCAATACATTTGAAAAGGGAACAGAAGAGAAAAACTGTCTGGATCAGACAGCCAGTCACCTTACTACCTTCAACAATTCCAGACAGAATGTCCTGAAGAAAACATCGAAACATTGGACAATGTAATAAAATATACTATTATATATATATAGTATTTATTGACCGTACCCCCCTTCTAATTTCTTCTGAAATAATGTTTTTAGGATTAGGATAAAGCTTTCTACTTATGAAATCAGAAAGATTATAAAATTTTTACTCTCCATTCTTAATTATAAGCAATATATCTGTGAAAAAGTATTTGGCAACTATTAATCATTATATTTATATATGCTTAATTCAGATCTTGTTTTTGTTACAAAGTAATTTGAATCTGAAAATATAATTTCATTAAAAATTATCACCTCAGGTAATTATTGCCTATCCAACAATTGGAGAAAATCCATCACTGTCTACAGTGCTGGCTTTAGGGTGGGGCAATTGTCCTGGGGCCCCACCTGAAGGGGCCCCCCTTGGGGTATCTTCGGAAGCGCTCCTACTTTTAGGAAATAAAAAAAAGTTACAAAACATATCGAAATAATTAATTTTATCCTACCAATAAATCAATTGTATTAGAGAAATGTTGAATGCAATAAAATTCAAATATTACATAATATAAAACAGCTTAAGAAATAAATTAATTTTTTAAAGGAGGAGAGTACGTCATTGACCGACCCCCGGAGGTCGGTACTGACTGCGTAGATATAACAAAAAAATGAAAATCTCTGATCCTTAAAAAAAATATCAATATTGAAATTCTGACTTCGTAAGATTCGTATGGATTTTATACCTAAACTTTTTGCAAATATAGGACGTCTTTAAAAGAAAACTAAAAACATATTAATGGAAAGTACGGGAGCTTGATAAAACATCGCCTGATTTCATTTTTGTTTATTCAGATAATGGTCCTTTTAAATGAAAATCTTTCTCACTGTTATATGTCAAAAACTTATACTTTATTTCTATCTACCGTTCATCTAAGACATGAAAAAACCTACATACTAATATAAAATTCATTACATATCTCTATAGATTTTATTCGCAATGCTTATTTGGGTTTCGTCCTTCTGTTAGGATGGAGTGTATCCAGTTTCTACCTAGATCAGTCAATGTTTATATTGTGGAGCTCCAGTAAAATGAGTCTCGATATTCCCCTTTGCTTAAAAAGGGAAATCAACTCTATATCACCCTTGGGATGAATATGAAGGAGCTGTAATGCTTGTTTCTGTAACTACCAGCTAGTGGATAAGGAAGGCCTTCGCATCTGATTATATAATAATTTTATTTTTTATTTAATAAAGAGACTTAATTATATAATATCTATATTTGCCACAGGTACATCCATTGATTTTATTTATTTGTAGTTTAAAACTCAGTTGTGAGCTCTTTTTCCAAAAATAAGCATGCATTTTCCATCTTAATGGATTTCAATTACTGAGTCCTTCTTCCGGCTGGAATATTTTCATAAGGTTGTTTGTGATGGAGTGGGTCGTCAGCCAATTTCAATAGCTGAATGGGAACAGAAGACCAATGG